AAAGCGTCTATCCCTGAGTATGTATCACGACAATCTGTCTTAAAACAGGGGTTCTAGAAAACCCACTTCCCGATGCTCCTGAAACCTGAAACTTTTTTTGCAGTCGATTTGGTCAACGTCTAGACGCCCTGAAAAATTTCAGATCTCTAACTCAATTTTAATATGGTTTTTAAGGCACCTGAATATGGCGATTTTGGGTTTTTTACCGAATTTCGTATAACAGTGCTGGCGAGTATTTTATGCAAATTTCTTAAAAATCTCAACATAACTATTTTTTATTCCTGTCATCTTTGACATCAAATTAGAATGTTTTGAACTAAAAATAAATCTGCTGAACGACTTCTTAATGCCTGAAAAACTCCTGCCGGAGGCGGCGGCCTTCGGCCGCCGCCTCCGGCCGGAGTGCACGCTTCGCGTGCACGAAAGAAGCTTGTAATTTCAGATCTCTAACTCAATTTTAATATGGTTTTTAAGGCACCTGAATATGGCGATTTTGGGTTTTTTACCGAATTTCGTATAACAGTGCTGGCGAGTATTTTATGCAAATTTCTTAAAAATCTCAACATAACTATTTTTTATTCCTGTCATCTTTGACATCAAATTAGAATGTTTTGAACTAAAAATAAATCTGCTGAACGACTTCTTAATGCCTGAAAAACTCCTGCCGGAGGCGGCGGCCTTCGGCCGCCGCCTCCGGCCGGAGTGCACGCTTCGCGTGCACGAAAGAAGCTTGTAACGTGTACCAAAGGGGGTATAATTATAGTAAAGGGGGTATAATAATAAATGGGGTACATAGTATACCCACAATAAATGCAACGGTCGTGCTTGCCAGCACTGTGATTTGCATTTTTGACACCACTTGGGTGTCTAAATTTTGGGCACTAAAATTTTTATTCCATGGTCAATTATTTATTTTTACATGCTGATTTGAAAAGCATTGTATTAAAGCATTTGGCCAGGTCAAAAAGTTTCAGTTGTATATCTTTATTCTTTAACGGCCGTTTTTATTTGGAAAGTCGCCGCGTTATTTGCCTGTTATTCCCACTTAAGCACTTACTGACTGACAAGCTTATCTATGATTACCATGCTTGAATTTAGGTAAACAACATACAACTCATTTCCAAGTTACGCTGAGCGCAACCGCCGAATGACTCAGCAATATGGAAACGCGCGCGCATAGTATTGCGCGCCGATGCTGTGCGCGCGCGTTGTCGGCCGAAACTTGGGAAGTTCCCGCTCTAATATTCAGACGACAGTGATGACTCATTAAGAGCACTAATTTCGACCACTTTCCCGGTCGAACCATACCAAATCAAACTAATTGACCCACGTGTATAGCCAATGTCCTGGCGGTGCTGAGCCGATGTAAAACTCTTCTGTAAACTCTTTTGTCTCTTGTAACTTGTTTATATTTTATATTTTAGTTATACTGTGTACTGTGTACAATAGTTATAGCGTATAGTGTGTAGTGTGTAGTGTGTAGTGGTTATTTTGTTGTAACGTGTCACTTTATTATTTGCTACCAACGTCAGCCTTGACTTACCATTTATTGTAAATGTAATTGGTACAGCATATATCAAAATTAAAACACTGTTTTCGATCTGACGGGTGATGGGCTCTCTCTGATGGGACATATAGTTCTAGGGGGTACCCGGGGTACGAGTTAACGAATAGTGTTCGTGTCCTTCCACAATCCCCTCTCATTGTGTTTTTGACGGAGGAGGAGCCTAGTTCATCCGTCTGCATCGCTTAATCGAGTTAAAAATTTAGCCAATAACAAACTAAATTACATGTTATACTGATATCAGATGTAGAGTTTATAACATACAAATTCTAAATTTTTGACGGCTGACGATGGTAAGTCGCTACGTTTAACTCGGGACTTTTATAGTCGTAAGTCTTGGAGCTCAAAATGTCTCGTGCTGTGGGCCGTATAAACGGCGCACACCACCGCCCCGCCTTACTGCTTACATTACTTCATGGTTGCAGGGCGGAGCCGGTGCCGTTTGTCTCGGCCTCGAGTGGCGAGTGCTTGCCCATCGAATACACGATTGAAACACTAATTATTTACTGGCATTCTACAGTTTCCAAAACGAAGTACGAAGGTATATTAACTTTGAGCTTTGTTTTGGCGACTGCTTCATCGATGGGCGAGTAGGTATTTGTTGTTTAGCAGTGTTGAATATTGGAGCAATTATATAATGTATATCTCCATCATAATATAGGCTAGTGTAAACATATATAATCAATAATACAAACAAATAGTATTATATTATTGGTAACTCGCTAGATTATAAATGTTATTTAAACACATATGTTTACGTCAATTATTACTAAAATTAATATTCTTTTTGCTTTAATATAATTACATGTCACATAATTGATTAGTTGAATGAAACGTGTGCTACAAATGTCTACGCCTCACGCAGAACTGCGTACCGCTTAGTACTTCATGCTTGAGCGGTACTGCTGTTCACAGAGGCGCGCATATAATAGCACTCAATTTAATCACAAATAACGAGCGCGCGGTTTTTGGAATTTCTCCATTATTATTTTTCGATCTATTAATTAGATCGCAGTGCTCACGGCCTGTACTGCGTGAACGACAGAAATATGTTTTAAATTATTTTGCTTCTGAAATTTTGGCTCTAGTAATTAAGAAATGCGACATGTAATTGTAAAATAACAATTAAATAGATCCTGTGCGCGGCGCCTACAGCTGACCTACGAATTTCTGAACAATTGAAAATTGTGGCTGTGTGCGCGGCGTACTGTATATGTGTTTGAAATTGAAATTTGAATTTATTTATGAATATAACATTATGTATTGATTGTTTTGTGGTAAATAAAAAATTTTTCTTTCCTTTAAAAAAAAAAATTTTCTTTCCTATTTAAAGTTGTTGACGAACGTTACTCGTCTAAATTTCTTCGAAGTAGCGCGCGCCGCTTTCCTCTCGAAAGAAGTTTGGCTTTTACAATTTAGTCCTGGAGGTTGGGGGTCAGGGGACTGTTTTGGAGTTTACCCGTCTGATTGATGAGGTGGGTACTCTTCCCTGCAGCCGTAGACTGGAAATCCTTAATTTGACAAGTGAAAATACTGGCAGAGTGGCGAATACGTGGGGACCTCATAAAAGCTTTTAAAGTAACAAGTGGTTTGGCTAATTGTGGATCGGGGATGTTTAGAATTGGCAGATCCGGTCTTAATCTTGTCCCAAGCAATAGATGTAGTAGAAGTTTAATTAAAATCAAAAATATCCAGAAGTAATTTCTGCCGGAGCAAGTTATTCCATATTGAAACAAACTCCCTCCGGACGTCAAGAACTATGTGACAGTTTTAAGCTTTAAAATTAAATTAGAAGGATTTAAGAAAGATATGATTTCTAAAAGTATTACAAATTATTGCTTTTTTTGGAATGTTTCTTATGAAGTTGTAGCAAGAATTGAGGGAGCCAGTTATCTCAGTAATAATAATAGTACTTTTACTCTTACTCTTACTCTCTCTCAATGAAACAAGAAATTTTTTCAATGAAACAAGAAATTTAATTTTAGCACATTTTTACAGAATAAAAAGATGTAAAACAATTCATAAAATATAATGCCCATTTGGTGTATGACTTTTTGTCCTGACTGCTAGTTTGGTTTATGAAGGACAGGTAACTAACGGGGCAAGGAATGCGCGTGCCTGGAAGCTTTTGCACACACCGAAACGCTAGTTCAGTTAAGTTTTTAGAGACAAGGCTCAGATTAGGACTAGAAGAAAAATTGTTAGTAGACATTAGAGGTTCTGTTTATAATTGTTACTCTAGCTGGCCCTGAACGACTTTTCAAAACCAAACCCAAAAAACTCATCCCAACCCAAACCCAATCCCTAACAAAAGCATATGCTGAAACCCTAACCCTAATGAGAAATCAGACCAACTTCTGTATACGGTCATATCACCAATCACGTGATCGAGACAGTTTGTTTCCGTTATCTCGTCAGGGGACTGGGGAGCATTTTAACCCTATAGGTCATAGGGGGGTGGGGGTATTTCTTATCATGTAATTAAGTAAGATAACACGTATATTTGCCAATCTTCAAGAACAAAATCAACAGGCCAAACTTGCTTTATTTTCAGTTTTATCATTGACTTGATGATATGATTATATGTCAGTTCTGCATGCATAGTTCATCAGCTCAGTAAGCTTTAGTCTGGACTTTGCCCGCAAGCCCTGTCAAATGTTCCAGTGGCAGGATAGATTGCCGCAATGGAAACTCATTATTGGATTGGAGTGGAATAAAGGCAGCGACCTCGCTGTCCGGGTGGTCAGCAACTCTGATGACCCGATAGAGGATTCTATGAAGCAGTACATACTGGTGACATGCCATGTGACATGGCATGTTGGTACCCTTGTTATAGCATTGTATATATTTGATTATTATGCAGTTGAAATTCTACTATTGAGTGTAGCTAAATTCATTAATAATCACTCTGTTTTAAGGTTTGTTAATTGATTATTTAAAAAGAGATCACACGTTCACGAACAGCACATATTAAAATCAGCGTCCTCTAAATTAAGCATATTAAGTGTGACATTATAATCTTAGCATTATTTATTAACATATTCAGAAAAAAAAGCAGCTGAAAATAAACATAACTTGAGAAACAAGCAAGCATAATCTATCAGTAACTGATATAACTGTACCTCGAAATGAGTATGAAGTATGAACTCATGTTAATGTCACATCTCTCTTATCGTACCACAAAACTTTATAATCAAATGGAAGCGGTATTCCATATTTCTAAGTTTGCTTAAATACATTTTTGAATACAAATTAGAGAACATCAGACAGTCGACCCCCTGATGAGGGATCTCCTTGCGTAGCTGGGGTGGCAATGCCTGACTGTGTTAAGGCTAGCATGTTTATGCATGGCTCATCTGCAACTGTTTCCACTGTCTTCAGCTTGTAACATTTTTTCCATGACCAGCCTTTTACTTCTGGGCTTTCATGATGTCTGCTAGTAGTTTCCGTCTGAACAGATGTTAGATATGTCTTTGGCGTCAACCTGAAGGAAATTGTGTTAGTTCACTTGCACACCAGTTATGTCTCATCACTGATGTTTTCAGTGATCACCAATCAATTGAAACGAGCATGTTGTTTGTTCTTTTAAAAAGGAATTTATCACGACACCTAACTAAAGTCTTACTCTCTTACACTCTTTATCCCAACTATTATTATCATTTCAACCCGATAACGTTCATCAAGTGAGGCAATGATAGTTGTAAAATGTGACATTGATAAGATTGCTTTGAAAATTTGGTAGCTACTTTCGATTTTTGCAATCCTAAGTATTGAATCAATACCATTGTTTTTGATGGCTGCACACCAGGACTGTCAATCCGACTCAACCTTTTTATGCCCCTGAAATCCAGGTCGTGAGTTAAAGATTGCATTATTCTCATAGGTGCTACACATTGCATTGGCAAGGCTTTCATTTTCGTAAGATTGCAACTGTGCAACAGCTTTGCCACTGAATTTGCACAATCTGGTGGCAGGTATTGAGCCTAAGTGGTTGATTAGTGGCTTGGAATGCATCTGATTTTACTAATGGTTATTCTGTCTACATCGATGTCTTTTTAAGTTTATGAGTGTTTCGCATACCGTTGATACCTAGCTTTTAAAATACAGATAAATTTCTCTCCAACAATTGCAATACCTTGATTTAAGATGACTTCCCAGTCCTATGGTGCGTCTCCGAGGTCTGCTTGGAAGTCTGAAATGATTGAGAAGAATACCGTTAGATAACATCATGAGACGCTGACTATTAATTTTTAATTTAAGGTTTAACAAAAACAAGAGTCGTAAGTTTTCCCAACTGTGATAAATGCTCAGCAAGTAAATTGAAAACCTTCCAATCAACGATCTGATCTGTGCTTGAAAATCTGCTCCTCGGAAGTAGAAAATAAAGGGATTGAATGCACTATTAGTGCAGGTCATTACGGTGTATGCTACCGTGAGGACATATCCATAACCAGTTGACTGAAATAAGTAGGTTATTATGAAATATAGGGTTTGTTGGTCGTCAGCGTGATCTTGCTATTAAAGTATTATACATTAGAATACGCTTTATATCAACCATGCGGCATGCATGGCACTTAATTTAGTAGCAGTCTTCATGAAACACTCAAAGGAAATCGTATTAAAAGTAACACCTACCGTATATAATTTTGTAGTCAGTTCTTTAGGAACAAATCCTAACTTGATAGCGAAGTTGAGTGTCAAAATGCACCAAAGAGGGATATAACACACCAGGAACGTAGCAATTATCATCAGTATTGTTTTTGTAGGTTCAATTAAAAACTTCTTCCGACATTGAGTAGAGATAGACTTGCTTGCGGCGTCACCCTACAAACAAGATATGAGATAAAGAGATGATAGCACTGATAAAGTGATAAGACATTCATTAATATTTCCCTGTATTGTCAGAAACACCAACCAACCGAACCATAAACTTAAAATATCTAAGAATTGATAAGAAATTGTTGAAATAAAATAACTAGTGAACTTGATAGAATTCGTAATCTAACAACTAACCTTGTTATTTTGTGTCGAGTTTTGCCCAAATCCCATGTTTTCAGACATCTTGTGACTCATATACACTTTTGGTATGATGATACCCGTACTAATAATTATTCCAATTCCTGAAAAAGTTTGAGATTCAAAATTTGAGATTGAAGCCCTTACAGTTGTGATGAAATAGCAACGATCAATGAAACAAGATTCCAATAATTCTAAGATAACAGCTATAAAACAGATCTATATAACAGAACTACCTATATGTCAATGTGTATAATACCTGGAATGACAAAGGGGAAGATCAGCACAAAGAAGTAGGTTGCTTTAAATGCTGCTGTGGTCCACCCATCTCTATCAAATAGGTCCTCCACCTAAAATAGTCACATTATGGGACTTTAAAATTTCATTCTTAGTAAGAGCTTTCAGAAAAACCTTCTTCAGTGTAAGAATTACAAAGTGGGGGGGGGGGGGGGGGGGAGGATAAAGGACGAAAGTTCCACCGAGCTCTGCAGTTTTACTAATTTTATGTAAACGTATAAAAGGTTTCATACCTGCCAAACATAGAGAAGTGCCCAGGGGTTGTACTTGTATTTGGTTTGGAACATGAAAGGAAAGAAGGAGATGGTGGTACAGATAACCCTGAGAAAAGACACTAGATTAATTTAATTTCACTATTTATATTCCTAATAATAGACACCAGATTTACGCTAGGAGTATCATTTTCAAATATTTGTTTAAACCTGACCAATGTAAAATTGCTCTTACCAAATGAAGATCACTATGGTGATGGTAGAGTTGGTGGATGTGTATTGTCGGATTTGTAGAGGGTAATACATGTGAGCACATCGTACCAGACTGAAGGGTTAAATATTTCAATCATTTAAATAACGGTATTCACTTGTGTCGTATTTTGGGATTTTTATATATAAAATATTTATAAAATATGCTATATCTAAATAATTTGATTGCTTTTACAATTTGAGCCGCAACCAAATAATGGACGTGGTTGGAAGAGATAGTGATGATTCCCTCAATCGAACTTTGTAATAATCTACGCTGCTTATCATTTCATCCATGAGATGAGCTATCTTTAAAACTCCATAGTATCAAATCAAAATAATTATCAAATCAGACTCAAGCAGTGCTAATAATGTCTCTCTGAAAAGAAGGAGATATCTTAGCCCCAAAAGCTACCTGAGGAGGAGCATGGTGTAGATGCTGACTCTGCTGCAGGTATTGTGGAAGATGCCCACAGCAGATCCGTACGAGGAACCAAGTTCAGATCCTTCAGTGAAGGAGGCCCTGAGTTTATGTTTTGGTTAATTATGGGTATTAATTAATTATGTGTGAGTATCTGTAAACTGAATTGAATGTGGGCGTGGTATTAGAAATACGACTTTCTGGGTAGCAAATCAAACAGAAACCAGGGAAACACCCTTTTTTCTGAGTGAAATCCTGTTCTAGGCGTGATTTGTAAAATTCAGTAAAAGGTTAGTGGCGATTACCTGTTTGTTGAGAACAAGTTCATGGCTACGTATGGTGTCGCAATAAGGCTCATCAATAGATCCGTCACAGCTACACTGAAAAATTGAAGACTTTTAAAAAAATTAAAAAAAACTTCATCTCTGACCTTATTATCTGAATACATTTCTAGATGATCTGCACAATGAAACGATGTATTAATATTTGGAATTTATCTTAAACTGACAGTGGCGTTCGAAATACTAATAAAGATATTAAAGTTTTAATATCATTGTAGTTATATAGAAGATGGCTCAAACACATGTTGAAATACTTCGAACTTTAAAGAGGAAATTCGAAATTCTTGTTGAGCTTAATCAGAGCTATTAAATACGATGAATTTTAGCGAAAACAATTAGGGTATTTTTAACGAAAATGCAAACTCTTAAACCATTTTCGCTAACTTATCAAAACAAATCATCATTCACTTACCATATAAACAGAATTGTTGCTCTATTTTTGGCGAGGTTCCAGAAGACATAGAGTGACACGGCATTGCCAACAACAGAGATTATCATGACAATCCACATAATACACCCAATAGCATAGTCGTACTCCGAGATGAACACTTCAGACATTGCTTCAGATTAAATAAGTTATTGTAATCGTGTTGGTGGTGGAAAAAATAGAACAGGTATTGAAAAACAAAACTTTGAAAAATTATCAAAAGTTCAGTAGAGATTCAGTTAGAGTGGTACTCAAGAGAGGTGAGTGACAAAAACTCAAGTCGTAAATTAAACATACTTATCCTTATTTTGTATTTATATGACTTGGTTACCAATGGCCCAAGTTAAGATCGTTTATATGCGTGACAGATATCGTAACAGCTGTATTAAACTGAAGTAAGTTTATTATTTATCTATTTTTTTTGAGTGGTGAGCTAATGAGATCCTGTAACCTTTGACACGTGATTAACACGTGGATACCACAAAAATACTATTTAGTTAAAGCACTATTTAGTTAAAGTACTATTTAGTTAAAGTACTATTTAGTTGAAGGACCATTTAGTTCAAATACTAATTATTAAATAATTTAGCTAAAGTACTGTTTAGTTAAATAACTATTTACCTTCATCACTATCAACGAGATAAACTTCAAAGTAATAAATTAATATAACAGATAAGTTCCCTCATAAGAGCACTTTGTGGGTAAAGAACCACGCAGAAAACAGATCAATAAATCACTATTTAGATACACCACACACAGAAAACAGATCAATAAATCACTATTTAGATACACCACACACCTTGTTTGAATCTTTAAAGAGTTAACCTTTCAGTACAAGAGACAAAGATGACACACCTTGTTGTGTATTCCCAGGGACTTTCTTCTAATATTAAATCTGCTTTTCTTCATCAGAGTCCTTTGATAACAGTCAATAACAGTCAAATCAAATATTAATTAATCTTCTTGAACTGCAACCATAAAACCTGATTGCCATGAAGGTTTTAGCATCAATAAATCTTCATCTGACATTTTATTTGTAAAGTTAATATCGTGACTTCCTCTATAATCTTATATATCTAAATCATTACCCTATCTAGGTTACATGGGGTGCGGTTCTTCGGTAAGTAAAACTTTGTTGAGAAGATGAGTATAATTATAGACGTTATAATTCTCTCCGGGAATTATATCCCCGAAAATTCGTGAACATTGGTAACTGATAATTTCCCACAAGGGTTACCACATTATCATAATATTATCAGGACAGAGTCACCTCAGACTGGCTGGCGGGAAGTTTTAAAACAAATAACAGTTGTGCACTATATATTACACACTATATTGTATCATGCGCACGTATCACATTACACATTATTTCATCCAGAACCAGAGGAAATTATAATACTATAATAGCTCGGCTAATGAGTGCTGAGCGCGATAATTCCCGACAGCTTGCTGGAGGGAACTCGCGGGCACGAAGTTGCGAGCTATTATATTTATAATACCTTCCGGTTCCGATTGCAGAAGGGGTGTAATCCGATACGTGCGCATGATACAATATAGTGTCTAATATATAGAACGCCAGTGTTATTTGTTTTGAAACTTGCCGCCAGCCAGTCTGAGGTCTAGGCTGATAATACCCTCGCTTCCCTTGCGGGATAAATCGTGCAAATTATCAGCTCTCAGTGTCCGAGTTTTAGTGGATATAATTCCCGGAAGGTATTATAACAAATGACACCTTGGCTTAGTTTCGTGCCCCGTGATCCCTCCACCAAGGCGTCGGGAGTTATCGCGGGTAGCACTCAACAGCCAAGGTATTATTTTATTATAACTAGATACACTACGTTCAATCAACAACAACAAACAAGATACAAGGGCAGGTCTCTCCCGAACGTTGGGATGGCCTGAGGTGCTCCGTGCTTATCTCCTTTTCAGTAACCCTAAGCATTACATTTCAGGCTGCAAAGAATGCGGTTGCCGTTCTACCACCTGAAGAAGAGGACCATATAAACAATGATCACACCACAGACAAAGTGGTTAATGGTGCTGACAATTCTGTGGAATCTGCCGTTAACTGTAATGGAAAAACCGAAACTATTAAGATGCCCACTGGTGACCCGATCACAGTGAGCCTCAGCCCGGAGTCAGAGGTACTACTACTCAAGAATGGAAACGTTAGAGTAGATCTAGCGTTAAACAGCGCTGCTGTTAGTGGTCCTAGTATTAATGCAAATACGGGGAAACCATTGGCGGCAGCTTTTGATGAATGCAACGAGAAAAACGTGGGTTTTTTGTACTTAAAAGCTTTCAATTCCAATGTATGCGTTTTTGTATAATGATCGAGCAATAAAACACTTTTAATAACGAAAGGTGTGATCTAAAAGCACTTACTCGTCACTTTAAAGGAATCCCACGTAACTTTATGGCGTTATTTCTCGTAATTTCTTGTTAGTTTGGGCAAAAACGAGGACATCAAACGAGTTATATCAGCCTTGCGTCACATCAGTATAAAACGAATTTTCCAATTCGAACTCCAAAATAGTCATTTATAGGACCATCATACAAAAGGAAAGTTGAGAACATTATTTTGTATAAATGTCTGTTGAACTGTAAGTATATGCTATTTTGTGTTTTCAAATTAAGAATCCGTTTTATATCGGTTGATGTGACGCAGGTTTCAGATGGAAAAATTGATAATAACAAAACTTTGGATACTGATAGGAGGGGGGGGGGGGGGGGTGCGGAGGGAGGGAATAGGACAATTTAATTAAGCATTCTCAAGTTTGCCATAATGCTGGCTGGATAAATTTGGACCCTTTGATATCGCGTCTGCTCGTTTATAAAAGGATTTTCTCATTTTGGAGCTCATAAATAAAAGTAAAACTGACTCGCATCAATGTCTATCTTATAACGAAAGCTCTAATATCGTTATCGAAAAGTACCTAGTGGTTAGATTCCGTTCAAATTTAGTCACAAACTTCTTTTGGCGATGAACTAAAGAATTCCGAGTTAATCTATAATTATGTTTTAGCATAACACAGAAAACTTGTAATTTTGACATTAATTTATTTTACAAATAAGTAAATTTATTTCACAAATAAGTGCATAACCAAGTTGAATTGATATGATTGGTTTTTATCAATCTAGTTATTTTACGTCAAGATAATGTGTAAACTAGAAGGTTACACCATCTGTCAGTATAAGTTATGATGTCAAGTACAGATTAGCATTTGATCGACATTGCGTCAAACATTTATCAGCCAGTAAATGGTTCCCAGCAAACTAAAAGCGATCGTAAATAATTAATACACCATATCATATTTAATGACTCGACTGTTATATACAATGGTCTCTGTACTCTATTCAGTACTAGCAGGAATCTGTCCAACTCTAAAGTGTCACGAGACATCAATATATATCAACCTTAATAAAACCAAGAAATCCGTGTGTGTGTGTGTGTGTGTGTGTGTGTATGTTTGAAATTTCCGAACGGTTATACAAAAAAGACGGTAAAAGTTACGGGACTGGTTTTTTCGGTATAGTGTCGACAAAACTCTGACGAAGCCCATAAGCAAATTGTTTAAAAAATCGGCCGGTGGTAAGTGGTTTAATTGATGATTTTGTTCCAGAAATGTGACATAAATGGATGGGAGAGAGAACGAGGAGGATAACATGTACCGTAATTAGTTTAGCCCCACGTAATATCAGAGCTCACTCTTGCGGCCGCTTTGTTTCAACTGTAGGGAGATTTCATACTTTCAGACAGCGTTATGCGTGTTTTCAAATATAATATGCGGGTGTGGTGCGGAGTTAACAAGGATTAATTTCTATAACGATTTAAATAAAAATAGAAAGCGGTTCAAGACGGGAGTGATAAGGTGTAATACTCGGTGTTCAGACCTTATGATCCTGGAGTGACTGTGGTGCTTCATGGCTAATAATGACTTAATTATCCACAAGAAATAACTGATTATGAGATTATTGTTTAAGAAACTATTGGGTCACCTAATGCGGGTTTTGACTCAGCGGGTAATTACTCCTACCCTTTTTAACTGCGGCAGTGAAATCCCGGCCGTAGGCCGGGTTACACTAGTATATTTATATTGTGATTTTGACAAAACTTGGGCGACCAAATTTCCGCACCGACAAATCCTATTCCTTTGCCAATTGTTTATTTATTCGTACTAGTCAAAAGACAATAAAAGCATTCGACCTAGCTAATATATATATATAATATATCTGTTGTCATTTTACTGACACCACGACATCGATTTTAACACGACCGTGAGAGACATACCATGCTTTTAAATATAGTCTCGCTTTATATATTATATAGTAAGATTGCTGTATTAATATTATCCTAGTAATATAATCATTACTTTATCAATATTGCTGCAGCACAAGATAGTAGTTGATAATATGTACACAGAATTTACACTGATATATATATTAGAAACTGACTTTTTTGTCGGGTAGAGCACTCTTGAAACTGGATTTCTCCGAATAAACACCATAATAGAAAGTAGAAACTGATACATGATACAGTAAAACCCGATTTACCGCGCCCCGATTAACCGCAAACCCCTATATACCGCGGCTTTTTTCTTTCTCTCAAACACCGCAGTAAATCGGGGTAAACATATAATAGTGAAACTTGCTACTCTTAAAAGCTCACAATATTCCCAACTACCTTACGAGATATATTTAAAAGGTACAAAAGTTGGCGGTTTTCCGAAAAAACACCATATTTTCGGACTGCCAAAATTTAGGTCACTATCATTATTTTCCCCAAATTACTTTTCACGTATTTTCCTTAATTATGACTTTGTCGATTTACTATCAATATAATAAGTTATGAATACTAGCAGAAACCCGTCTAACCCTAAAGTGGTGTCAATATGAAATAATATTTATTTATGTTGTGATTTTGACTCCACTGGGGGGGGGGGGGGGTCCAAATTCCGGGACCTAAAGTTCTTATTCCTTGACCAATTTTTATTTCTTTATACTGATAAAAAGGAAATAAAAACATTCAACCCAACCAAAAAAGTTTCGATGGTATATCTCTCACGGTTTTTGCGAAAAGTTGTGTCAAAGTTGATGTCGTGGTGTCAGTAAAATGGTAACAGATATATATAGAGAAATATATATATCGTCTCGCTTTATATATAGTAACTTAGTAAGATGATTCATCTAACAAATGAACACTAATAGTATTTGATCATGAATTGTTTTTAAAATGATTTTATAAATTAACATAGAATAAACAAATTCTATAAACGTCGAAAACCAGAAAATCAAGAAGATCAAGAAGAAATTGATTTGTACTTTTTCTATTTGGGAGTGTTATTTTTTATTGATTTTATCAAATATTGGGTTTATTTTTGTAAATTAAAGAAATGAAAAAAATGCCCAAATACCATGATTTAATTTGGGGTAGGAAATGTGGTGGTTTTTGAAGAAAAAAATCCAACATTTTCGTTCCGAAATCATTTAGGTCACGGGAATTATGTCCAATATAAATATGTGTTGTAAGGTAATTTGTTTCAGTTGGACGAACCAGCTCTACCAGTGGTGTCTACTGAAGTGCTTCCTCTATCTCCACCCCTCCCATCACACGTGGACAAACCTACTTCACAACAGTGAGCTATTCTAATTACTTTTTATTAACTTTTAAAAATCTTTGATTCAAGAATAAATAATTTAACTCTAAATTTAACTTTGATACAAATGTTCTGATTAACGCAGAATGCAGATCTTAATTTACTAGTTAGCGGCTGGAGTTTCTGACCTGATATGCGAAAGTAAAATTTTAAGAAATAATTTAATTCTCGTTAGACTCCCAACGTTAATATTTGACTCGTGTGACGTGAGAGCGAGATGCCGACTGCTGACGTTGGTTAATGCTATTAGAATTATACTCAGTATTTGCATACAGTTTGATAAGCAGTGGTCAATATAAGAGCGGTATTAATAATTTACAAATTAATTTTGGTCGACGGTAGTCGGGGGGAGCCAACTTCCTGTCAAATTGAAGGGCGGCTATTTAATGTTGACTGGTGATATAATGAGGTTTAAGTCGGATATCAAACAATCCTGCCCGCCCGGTTGTGGAAGCTTCAATTCTCTTAGGTACTCAGTTGGAGTCCTATTTAAAGTGTCCTGCAAGAGGGTCTGCACAAAGTGCCCTCTCTCCCGTGCTGTATCCGTCCACGAGTACAGATACTATAATGAATAAGGATCAAATGGCTTAAATGTCGAAACAGACTTTGTCAATGAGGAGAGAGGAGGGTGGGAGCAATCAAATATTGCACCTTAATCTGCTGTTTGATCTTAATCTATTGAATGGTACCTCTAAAATATTGATTTGATGAAAATAACCAATCTAACAATCAACTCGTAAACCACCACAACATTTACTAATACTATGGCCGTGTAGAGAAGATGGCTGTTCATAGTAGAATATTCAAATCAAAACAGTAGTCAACAGCAATATAATTAATCTCTGTTCCATAAGTTACATCACAAATAGAACGAATGAGTGAGTAAAAGACTTTACTGGGACTTTACTGTTCATGATCACACAAAAACAAAAATGTTCTTATGCCCTAGGAAGAAAGGTCCGGTTTTTATCACCCCTGCAGTTTCCCGCCTCCCACCTCCCATCCCCCCTGCAGCTTCTTGAACCACAAAGAGCAGGATAGATACGGAATTGAACACCGGTGGTGACAGTGATGCAGAGTTTGATGCGGACTTTTGGGTTGGATTGTATAAACCATCAGGCTGATCAAGCCTAGAAATCATCTGCCAAATTCAAGAATCACAGCTTAATTAAAAATTGAAAAATTATTAAATTTGTTACAAAATTGCAAACAAATTTGAGATTTTGATTCGCATTCGCATTAATTGACTGAATCAAATAATTAAATTAATAATAATTTATCATTTAATCAAATGATATAAATTATTACAAGACGTTTAACTTTAAAAACTGAATTGCTTTTTTTACAGAATAGTTTTTACATACTGTTGTATTTCTATTGTCCTTAATAAATTATGAATAAATATTAAAATCTCCACAATCTAAAATTACTTCATTCGATTTTAATCCGTCAAAATGATAAAATAAACTTTTAAAAATAATCTCACCGTGGTTACAGGACCTGGATACCCCACCCTCGCCGTGGTTACAGGACCCGGATACCATACCCTACCTCACCGTGGTTACAGGACCCGGATACCCCACCCTCGCCGTGGTTACAGGACCCGGATACCCCACCCTACCTCGCCGTGGTTACAGGACCCGGATACCCCACCCTACCTCACCGTGGTTACAGGACCCGGATACCCCACCCTACCTCGCCGTGGTTACAGGACCTGGATACCCCACCCTCGCCGTGGTTACAGGACCCGGATACCCCACCCTACCTCGCCGTGGTTACAGGACCCGGATACCCCACCCTACCTCACCGTGGTTACAGGACCCGGATACCCCACCCTACCTCACCGTGGTTACAGGACCTGGATACCCCACCCTCGCCGTGGTTACAGGACCCGGATACCCCACCCTACCTCGCCGTGGTTACAGGACCTGGATACCCCACCCTACCTCGCCGTGGTTACAGGACCCGGATACCCCACCCTCGCCGTGGTTACAGGACCTGGATACCCCACCCTCGCCGTGGTTACAGGACCTGGATACCCCACCCTCGCCGTGGTTACAGGACCTGGATACCCCACCCTACCTCGCCGTGGTTACAGGACCCGGACACCCCACCCTACCTCGCCGTGGTTACAGGACCTGGATACCCCACCCTCGCCGTGGTTACAGGACCTGGATAACCCACCCTCGCCGTGGTTACAGGACCCGGACACCCCACCCTACCTCGCCGTGGTTACAGGACCCGGATGCCCCATCCTACCTCGCCGTGGTTACAGGACCTGGATACCCCACCCTCGCCGTGGTTACATGACCTGGATACCCCACCCTCGCCGTGGTTACATGACCTGGATACCCCACCCTCGCCGTGGTTACAGGACCCGGACACCCCACCCTACAACGCCGTGATTACAGGACCTGGATACCCCACCCTACCTCGCCGTGGTTACAGGACCTGGATACCCCACCCTCGCCGTGGTTACAGGACCCGAATACCCTACCCTACCTCGCTCTGGTTACAGGACCCCGGGACCCGGATACCCCACCCTCGTCATAACTGTCAAGGGATATCTCGTATCTACATATCATGAGTCCGTTTTGAACTCTGCTGTGAAAGCTAAGGCAGAGGGTGCAGTAGCCTGATTTGCAAGACGTCCAGTATTGGAGAGGTAGGCCCAAGCGTCGAAGTATAATCTTCCCTGGTATCCGTGTCTGTTGCTATAGGTCTGTTGCTATAGGACTACAGTCGAGGTATTCCTGCTCAGCGGACTGCTTCATATTTACGGTCTTGATAGCATAGTTGGTCTCAACAGCTGCGACAGCAGAGACAGCCCAGCAAGATCCACACTTACCCTGGTGCTTAACTGCTGCAACTTTACCTTCGTTCCTCCAGTCCTTGGTGGACGCAGCAGGGACAGAAGACAGGACAAGTTCTTCTTCAGGGACCGGGGCAGAGAGGGAGATGTTCAGTCCGAGGTGCTATTGTTTCTCAGCAACTGTTAAGGCTGTGAACTGGTTGATTCCTGGAGAAGTTAGGTTGTTAGTGCTACAAGGGTGTTACAAATTGTAAGTGCTACTTTTCAAAATGAGATGTTTATCTGAGACCCACTTGTGTTCCTTGTTGAGTCTGAAAATCTGCTTCAGATCGTTCCTGAATAGCCTTAGTGATAGTCTCATAGGTCCTTCAGAGGGAGAGAAAGCCTTACCAAAGTCAACAGTGAACTCATTGAACACGGTTCTTCACATGTTCGGTCATTATCACGCGTGGCTCTTTATCACAAGAGCTGATCAGCCCGTAATCCGTATCACATTTTTATACTGAATTACAATTATACAGTGCTAAGTTTCAGTCTGCAAAGCGGACTTCATCGTAACAACCTGAAACCAACTTCCAATATATTTGCCGCGTACAAAAAAATTGGAGCTCCCAATATAGGCTGCTGTTAACTATTAAACTAAATTGAATTATTTGACTGCTAACACTTTCACAGACTGTTATTTATCATGAACACCTAGTGAGGTTACTAGTGAACTGGTTCCATCTCCAATAACTTGGTCACTAACTATCATATCATATGTTCTGATATTTCAGCTATAGCCAGCCCCCTGGTAACAGACTATAGTAACTATGGTAACTGACTATGATTTAATATTTCAGCAATAGCCCCCCGATGGAAGAATGGATGGTAGCTGACCAGGTGGCAGATACCTGCCCGACATCCACTACACAAACCCTTCAACATCTGACTGATTGTTTGAAATGTGGTCTAACTGGCACTCTGCTGGCTCGTGCCATCTTCAGGTATTTATTTTAACAAACATCCAAACGAAACTACGGGAGGAAGGGAGGGGGAGGGGGTCAGTATAATGAAATTGTACGATTCGACTTGATGCATAAACAATTTAAAATACATATAAAGATATAACACGAAACAATTATTAAAGTTCATTCGAAAAAAATGAAATTGAACATCATCCTTATTGGAAAACGACCGAAATTTCGGGTTTCGGCCGGTTTTGAACGTTTAGAGTCAGTTCGGGTTCGTAAAATAATTGACTGAGACGCAGCTGAATTTGTTCATCAATTCAGTAAAATGGTTTTCTCGGCAATAAAATCCTCTTGCTATACTGCAGAGTGCAGAACACGTCATTTATAGTTCGGTTCAGGTTCGGCAGAAATCGTCGGTTCCTAATTTTTGTTTTATTTGATGATAGCAAATGTATAATTTTGTATTATTAAATGAATATTTAAGAAAATAATATACTATGTGTAGTTATTTAATATCATACATTTGTTAAAATAGTACCAGGAAAGTCACTGGAATAATAAAATATGTTCACAATTTTTACCCGTATTTAAAACCTTTATGAAGATCTATGCGAAATATCAAAAATATCAGACGATTTGCAGACAATAAGCTTTTAACATTCTTAACTAAATAGTAAACTATAAGATAACTAAGATACCACAATCTCCAAGCGTTAAAACACTAATTCTCAAGATTCTCTAAAACTTAGCAGCTTATATTTGTGCCGGCTCTCACGCGTTTTTTAGAATCGTTACGTGGTACGACGTCTAGGAGTCGATGCTGTTCCCCGACTATTTACTAGATCTCGGTTGGATATTAAAAATACTACTCCCGATCAACTTATACAACGTCTGAGAAGCTAAAGATGATTTACTTTTTGCGAGAGATGCGACTTTGAGACTAGACTAATATGATGAAGATGACACATTATTATGCCTGATCAGTGATCATGTGTTATGTGCAGCAATGATATCATTTGTAAACGGTCAAACATAGTGAAAGTATAGGTTGGTGGTATGAGTGACATCTTAAAAATGCCTTGTCGCACCATATTTTTGCGACGTGTTAGTTGACACTTGACAGTCCTCGATCATATTCGGAAGAAATAATCCCACCAGTAATAGTATTTATTGGAAGATGTTTTTTATTTATTTTTTAAAGAGAGGCTGGGCCAAAATGGCCCACGAAAGGATAGCATTGGGATGCTCTGCCTACCTCTGGGGTGTGGCAACCCTGTGAAGGGTTGCCGGTAAAATCAAAGTGACTGGTGGAGGATGGTGTATAGAGTGACATGATTCAAAGTAATACGCTTTAATGCCAGCTGGGTTTGAAAGAGTATAAATAAGAGACGAGACAGCAAACTAAGTCACCCCAGTCTGATCCAGCTCTTCCGACATGTTTAAGCGTTTGGTGCGGTTTACGAAATTGACAATCGTGGTGATGTGTTGATTGTCGAATATATCATTGACAGAGAGGTAGTAGTCCTGGAAATATTGACCTCTAATTTGGGCAATAGCCGGACACTGTCCAAGGAAGTGTGAGACAGTTTCCTCTCCGTCGCCGCACATAGGACAAGCACTGGTGTTTGATTTGCAAATAGTGTGAAGGTATTGGAAGATGTGTAATGTGATTAAACGGATTAAACGAATTAAACGGATTAAACGGATTAAATTATTTGTTTTGAAACTTCCTGCCAGCCAGTCTGAGGTGACTCGGAGTCTGACAACCCTTGCGTGAAATTATCGGTTACCAGTGTCCACGACTTTTCGGGGGAAAAATTCCCGGAAAATATTGTAACAAATAATACCTTGGCTTAGTTTCGTGTTCGGGCTCAACAGCCAAGGTATTATCGTATTTTAAGTACCACTTCATACTTCAACTTATAAACCGCCCATATTGCGGATGAAAGTTTCATATCATCATTCGTTAAGCTGACTCAGTCATCATGAATATAAGCTGTCAAAAAGAAGTACGGTTTGACTTGACTGAAGTCTGTAAAGTAAATAGGTTGCACAGTGCTCATCTCCCTATTGGTTGAAGATGATAACAACCCTGACAAGTCGTTTAGTAAACACGTCAACTCAAGACCACTCTCATTGCCACTTATTACTTTATATTTTGGAGATTATGATAAATACGTGGATCATGGGTTAGATAGGAGAATAAAGTTTCAGTGGAGAAGGGAGAACAGGTGTTACCAGAAAGTTTGAGTGCTTACGATGATATTGATTGGAAATTTAACCAGAGGTAAACTCGGCACTAAATTGTGGGCTAGGGAGTTTGGACAAAGGAGGCGATGATAAAGAATTGAAACAGCATGATTAGGTATGCAATTGATTGGGGACTGGCCCGTAGAACCAGACAATGTTTTAACAGGAATCCAGCCTGTTTATAACATTAACTTCAAGAAGCCATATTATGTCGGTCGGTCCACTACAAGGGATTAGACGATTGATGATCACTCTTTGCCTGCTTTGATGACTCTATTTAGAATGTCGGTCCAATAATGCTCCTACCCCTAATAATAATACTCTTGCTACTACGTTGCAGGGGTATCTTCTGGAGAATGGATAGTCTTATCTTTCATAAATAATCATGCAGGGAAGAAATTATACTCTTGACAATTAAATTCCAGACTTTTTACACCTCACCTACCTTTTTAGCAACTAACTAAGAAAATGAGAAAAAAAAACTGGTTTGAAGTTCAATTCGGACTTTTCTGTTAAATTTTGGTCTGGTTAATTTTGGTTCAGCAACTAGTTCTTATCCCAATCTATCTTGCTCACAATTTGGCGGCCAATTTCCAAATTTTGCAATGCGAAATTCAGAATTTGGCCGCCAAATTTTTTTAGATGCCTAACTCAAAATTCTGTCCCAAAACCAAGGTCGAAATGCGATTCTACGTTGATTCTGAAAATTTCATGTAAAAATATTGAAACCCTATTGAGTTCTATTGTTTTGAGCGAAATCAAATATGGTCATATGGGTTTTGGCTTATAACTCAGTCATTTTTTGTCCAATCTTGATGAAAATTCATATACGAGTTCAAGGGACCACTAGCTACAAGTAGAGCACCTAAAATCTGGATTTTGGGCATGTTCAGGGTATTTGGCTAAATTGGGCCTAATTTGGGTCAAATATGGGTGTGGCTGCCCCGCGGGCACCGTTTGATGGTTGGGGTCCGGGACCCCCTCAAAAGTTCGGTCACCGGTCCTAGTTTGTTGGTCAGCTGCTATCTCGAAACCAAGTTTCACAAAAAAATCAGGGTGAAAAATCTAATTCTAAAACGGCGGATCAGTATAGTCACAGTCTAGACTATAGCGTTGTCGGATAACTAAATAAGATATTCCGATGAAGTACTTTACTGCTTTACATTAGATAGCTGCTACTCGGCTGTGTTCGAGTAATATTGCGATGTTTTATTAGTTATACGTATGTATAAGGAATAACTTCAAGACAAATCATGGAAGTTAAACCCTTGAAGTTCTGAAGGACAATTAATCATGAATAATATAACAGAATTGAATGCATTTTGACGGGTTTGGAATATTGAGCAGCAAACACGCTTTGAGTTTGCTAAATATCAACATAACTTTGTGCTAGTAAATCTTGCTTTTGAATGGCTCAACGTCAATACACCCTTTTTTAGTGTGCCGATCGGTAAAAATGGAGCACTGGTCGGAGGACGGAGGTGTGATATTTAAAGGAATGCGGAACTAGTTTGTTTGGAGAAGGTACATCCTGATCTCAAGTAGAGCATTACAGAGTTTTCATAATATGCAAACTACAAAAACAAGTTTAAAATTAATAAATAAGAGTAAGTTAGATATAAATGTATATGAATGAAACGCATTATAGTTGTAGTCTGTAACACAATTTAAAAACTGGTTAAACTATGTAAATGTTCTCTATTGGAGCCTTCTTCTAGTCTTATAGAAGTGAAAGCAAGCGAGCGTACTTGGAAGTAAATTACCAGTAGGTACATGACCATTAAATGACCGATAAAAGACCGGCTCTAGAGAAGGAGCCTAATTGTGTATTGGACTTAAATTCAATTGGTAAATTATGACGAGTCGCTGTGATCCTGAATTTGTCATCCACCCTCTTTAAACAAAAGAAAACATCGAACTGAAGATGTTAACAGAAAAGTTTTCTGAGAAAACCAATGAAATCAAATTTTACCAAGCAGTTGGGTGAACTTATCTTCCAAATGATATTGCCAGATTATTGTTTAATAGGGAAAGGGTTATATCAATCATTATTGACAAAATAAAAACTTCTGATAAGGATGTTACTTCGGTTAACTGTGTGATTCATAAGGTAACCAATCGGGAGCTTCAATATCTGAGTGGAAGTTAAAATCTTAACCGCGCAAGTAACCATGGTAACAGCACCTTATGGTGGTTGAAGTTTCTTCGCAGGTATTATCACACGAATAATGCCCATTAGACGCGAGTAAAACAGAAATGACAGAATGTTAAGATTAATATGTCGACTGCAAGTCGTTTCGGCAAAGACGAAGCAACTTATATGGGGGGTTGACACGTTCAAATTTGATCCTTGATTAGATTTCCTTTATCGATCAGATTCCACTGAAGGCAAACTCCCTTTATATAATGCATGTTTAACGGTCTCCTCATGCACAGTAAACAGGCCAAGCTTTTGTTAAAGCGGCAATATTACTCTCCGAACACTCGTGGCTTAATTGGATTACGAATAAATACGATTTAGGGTCCGACAAAATAATTAAGCATTGGTGCTCAATCACTTTACCTAAGCCAATATATCATGATATAATTATTTAATGACGGAATATCAACCTAGTAGATCAGCTTTGCGGAATAGTGCTTTTGTGGTGATTGCTATTGGCTTACCTCGAACAAAACCATTACCAGTATTACCATTCGCGGAATTAGATCAGAATTCAATTTCCACTCCGTCACGAGTTGTAAACTAGTGTTGCCCAGATATGACCACCGTTCTGTAGAATTCAGCTGTACGTATCTACCTACTAAGTATTATTGTTTAAACTTTTAAAGGAACCCGTGGATTATATAAATTATGAACAGGTCATCATCTCTAAAGCAGCGTCCTCCTGAAATAATATCATCTTCTAGAATCCATCATGATATCTAAAAGATGACTTCACCGATACTGTGGATTAATATATCATTACCTTATTTATCCAAATTGATGTCCCAGAAGTCTTAGCCATCAATCTTAGTCAGTGAATTCTCGCCAGTAGTGGCTTAGTGGGCGGGCCCAGTGCTACTCTCTAACCCGTCTAGTCAAATTTTAAGTTGGTTAATTTGTTTGGTTCGTAAGTTATGAAGTTATAACCATTCATAAGATTGTGACCCAGGTGAACTTAAAGATATGTCTATCTCGAAGATATATATATGTATATCTAGATATCAACTCTACTAATTTGCTACTCCGACGCTTGTGCAAAGATCATATCAATATCATGCTACGCAAAATAACAGCCTACCTAAGCTTCACTCGCAAATCTAATAAACACAAAATGCGACTTTTTATCATGATAGCAGGTGACATTATATAACAATATAAAATACATAATGTACAGGCTTGTCCGCCGTGGCTAAATGGATCGGCGGCGGCGTTTCACTAAAATTACACCGGCGGCGGCGGCGTACGCCGGCGTGAGCCGTGAAATCAAGGCCAACTAAATTGAGGTCTATGAAATATGAATATGATCATGTACTTAATTAGGGTAATTTAGACTTAACTTCGACAAATGATGTTGGTATATTGTTATGGTATTATCTGCTATCAAATAAAAGTTGAGACAAATTGATACAATTATTTTATTTAAGGTAAAATACATAAACAATAAATTATTGCTGAAATCAATGGATCTCTCAATATTTTTTGTTGGAAACAAAATCATAGTTTTTAGAACAAAACAGTGTATATTTGAAATTCTTAACATTCATCCTAGATCGCTGACTAGAAAGAATTAAACCTGCAGCCGACCAGGTTCTTTCAATTTCCGCACTACTGGCAGGTATACAATGCACTTTTCTTACTATGTTTGAGAGTATTGGGAAAGTTTTTTGCCTATCGGCCCAAAATCTAAAAAGTTCGAATTGTAAAATTTCTTCTTCAGTCAAACTTATGAGTAGGTACAAGGTATCTGCTCAGTTCTTTTGATAATCAATATTGTTAAGTTAGCTAAAGGTGTGTATCATGTGTGTGTTGCCCCTAGCCGCTAATCGCTATCAGTAACACTGATATCTTCAAATGAAGACAGAATTATTTTGAAGTCAGAAAATGCACGCCGTACGCCGATGTACGCCGGGGTGTATCGGCGGCGTTCGGCGTGGCAAAATCACCCGGCGGCGGCGGCGTTCGGCGGCGGCGGACAAGCCTGATAATGTATATAATTATAATATAACATATAACAATCTCGATGTATTAACCAGGTGGATCACGAGTAATATTAAGTGGCAGAAGGGAGGGTCCCAACAGCCGGAGAGTGTCCTGAGTAGAGGTGTAGCAGAGGATGAGGGCTACGCTGCTCTCTTCGCTGCTATGTGTGACCAGTGCTACATCAACAGTCACATGGTTCGTTAAAGAAATCTTTGTAGCAACTTAGTGCTGTCGTAATGAAGTGTTGTCGTAATAAAGTGCTGATGCAATAAAGTGCGATCGCAACTATAAAGTGACAAATGTTACCTCAGGCTCTTATAGCAGTTTGCTATCAATTTAAAAAGCCAAATTCAAAGATAGGATAATATGATGGTGATAATTTGCATATCTTGCCCTACATATTCTTACTGATGTTCAATATCCAGGTGAAAGGTCATATAAAGACACCTGACTACCTGCCAGGCTCCAATCCTGATCCTGATCAGCATTGGTGGAATGTTCTGGTTCTGGAGACGGGTACTTACACAGTGGACTGCTGCAGAGGAGCGGGGTTGGTCCGAGACGGTACTTTCCACCCTTTGTAGGTAACATTTGAAACTAGTTTTAACTGATTGTTGCTTTTTATCGCCTTCTTTTCTTATTTCAGCTACTTAAGCCTGGATATATTATTTATGAACTTTCAACAACTTCTGGACTCGTGGTACCTGAATAAATAATATAAAATCTGCAGACCTTAACCTTGGGTTGCTAGAGTAGACAGTAGTTTATCTCTAACATATCTTATGTTAGTGGAAGTGGAAGTAAAGTTAGAACAGTAGTACGCTAATAAGTTGAGGAAATGGTATTATCAGATCAAAATATTAACCACTAACCAGGTTCTATATCAGCCGTAAAGTGGTAAAATGCCGGGAACATCCCAAGTTTCAAATATATTCCTGATAACTTCAGACGGTAGACGACACCTATCAGTGGCATGCCACGCAGTTATACGCTCTTATATCCTAATATAGCTCATCTCCTGACAACAACTGCCATAAAAATCAGTTTCAAACGTTAAGGTTTATTAGGACAGGTACATGAGACAAGTTATGGTTTATTAGGACAAGTTATGGTTTATTAGGACAGGTACATGAGACAAGTTATGGGTATTCTACTTTGCCTGCGACATGGTGTTGTCATTCATTTGAGAATCATAGAACATTCCTAACATTCCTAACATCCCCAACATTCCTTTATCGTAGATCAAAATCTTTCGACCTTATGTAATGCGAATAACTGCCTAGTTGTGAATTTAGGCGAGACCAGTTAGAATTTAGAGAGTTTAATTTTATTAGATCTTTACGACGGGAAATTGATCTAACCTGTTTGATGGTCTGATGGTTCGAGTACGCACAATATTTGACAGATAGTTTTCGTGACATTCCGGGCTAAAATCATTTAGGTAGTCACTAGTCAACTTCTATCAGTAGCTCCAATCAAGAGAGCAAAATTTTTTAATTACCCTTTGGCGCAAATATATGATTTTTATACCTCGGCTCCTAAAGGTTGTAGGGACTTTTTTACTCAAATTGACTGTAATGGCCATATTTATATAGTTATATACAAGCTATGAAGCAATATGGGGTTTATATTGCTCAGATTTTGAGTTATTTATAGAAAATACAGTTTTTTAGCGCATCCTAAAATACTGCTGGATTTAGGTATCATGGCTATCCACTATCCAGCTCAACAAACGTAGCTCCAATCAATTTCACAAGCTCCTTCGAGCTATCTCAATATTTCGCGAGAAGAAACTGATTAACATTAAAAATAATGAGCAGCATTGCTAAAATAACTGATATATGAATGAAAAACGCGCCAGTGAGTGAAAAACTGGTTTTTATCGAGACACTGAAACATTAAGTTTGATTAATTTTGTAGTCACATGTGGGACTCTACCTTCTCAGGAAGCAAATTTCTGAGAAAGTATCCATTTTCTGTCAGATTTGCTTCCTGGACGGTTGACTAGCAAGTGTTTATCATCCCGGATATTGTCACTTCAAACGTATGATACAGAAAGAGGGATCAGTACTTCAGGAGTGAATTCTCACTCAGTCAGATAATTATAGTTTTCAGTTAATATTATAAGAGCAATATTCGCTTTCAATTATAAGAGATGAAGTACTGTCGCCCATTATCAGCACTAATAAACATCAGTTAAGTTGGTTCTAGTTCCAGTTTAATACGTTGATAAGATTAAAGTTAGATATACGGGTATATGCCTCACAGAATGGCCAAAAAAAATAAAGGTCTCTCAAAATCACAAAACACACTTTATTCCAGTTTTTATCTCATAAGAAGCTAAGTTGACACTCATATTTTTCTTCCCGGGGGTTGATTTAATCTCATAACCATTTTTTCTTTGAGAAAAATTGGCCGGAAAATCTTCCTCGAAAAAAACATGCCTCACAGAATGGCCAAATCTGAATTTCTATAATTTTTTGATGGAGATACTTTTTAAATTTCTATCACCACACGTTGTTAGAAAACCTATTAAGGAATGGGGTAATAACCTAAAACTCACGAAAAAACTGAGCTGTGAAAAATTATTTCACAAACAAAAAAAAATGCCTCACAAAATGGCAAAAAAAATGAAAACGAGAAAATTTTATTTTTTAAAAACCTTTGGCTCTTGTTTCAGGCATGCTGCTGGTATAAATATGCCTTTTTTTTTTTTTTTTTTATTTTTTTTTTTATTTTTTTATTTTTTATTTTTTTATTTTTTTTATTATAAATATGCAACCTACTAAAACCAATGGAGCCCTCCTCGGGGTCATTCCTCTCGCATTTGCGAAAGTCGTCCCAAAGGTGTAAAAGGAGGTCAGGATTTGTACTCGCCAAGCTCTTACATCGCTAATTGTTGACCATCGGCCTCCACTGAAGGTAAGTTTCTTTAGAGTGGAGGCCAACCGTCAGCTTGGGATGCAGGGCCAAGCGGGAAACAACGTCAAGGCCCCTTTCTACTTAGGCCATGTTGGTTTTGGCAGATACTGTGGTAATAAAATCTAAAGTGAATGAGTGAAATGAAGTGAGTGAAAAGGGTGTAAGAGAGGAGGCTGGAGGAGCTTGTAAGAAATTTAGGAAAGGAAGGAAGCAGGGCATGTACTACAAAAAGACAGCTACTAGTAGTACTGCAAGATTGTAACAATAACTGATAAAAATTAAATAACTTAGACAGCAATAAAAATGGAGTGGACATATTACCCTAATCGGCCAAGATCGACACAATAGAACTTCTGTGACCTATTTTATCTCCTTGAAGTGATAGCTTAAGAAGTTTGATATACCCCTGCCAGATCGGCAAGTCTCCTGCCTGAAATTTTTTGCTAATGTACCATTTGGCAACGATATTAAAATAATTTATAATTTGTGAAGTGTGATTACAGATTATAAAATTAATTTTAGTAGGATCTTCGTAATTTCTATCGATTTTCCTTTTAATAAAGTCTTCAAGTATTGTGATGAAGCTATTTGTGTGAATACAATGGAGGTAAATATGAGGAATAGTTTCTAAATATGTTTTACACAGGCTACACATGGGAGTATCTGTAACAATTTTCATCTTATGTCTCATGTATCTACAAGTTGTGATCCTCATTAAAAGTTTGTACTGAAATTGAATCAACTTAAAGTTTTTAGATACTAAGAAAAACAGGTTGCTTAGAACGACTGCCCAGTCGATGGAATGACTGTTCAAGTCGATAACCCACTGACGTAAAGGAGACAGCTCGTTTGGGCAAATAGAATCGTACATTTTATCCCGAATTTTGCTTCCCTTCACCTGCCCAGTTGCAGAATGTAAAAATTGAAGTTTTATATTCGGGTCAACAAATTCGATATTCCTTGAGTTAATCGTGGGACAGTTATATCTCCGTATCCCCATGATAATGTTACAGTAATCAATTTTGGAAATCGTATTCGGAGACAGCTCCCACTTGTTCATGAACATATCGTAGTTAAGGAGTGTACTTTGGTCTATAGAAAGGAAATCTGAGATGTAAAATATTCCCCTATCAATAAGATGATTGTTCCAAAGTTTGGACCCGATGTCAGTTATTGCTGGGTTGGACCACACACAGTGATCTATAGAACCCAAGGCTGCATTAGCCGAACTAATCTTCCACTCAGTGTAGCAATCAAGTACGTCCTGTGTAAAATTACAGTTGATATTTGCGAGACCGTTTTCTACAGAGATGGTGATATGCTCGGGAAATTTCAGTTGCATTATCATAATATCTTTCCAAGTGTGGTGAAAGGAATCATTTAGTAGCTTTGAAATAAGACTAGTTTTAAGACCTATAATAAAATCGGATAAATAAAATAGTCCCAGGCCTCCATGTTCCTTGTTTCGGGTTATGATTTCACGTTTTATTTTATCCCGTTTGCAACCCCAAAGAAAATGGAATATAATCGTGTCAAAAGTTCTGATAAAGGAAGCATCTGGTCTGGGGAGAGGAGGAACCAGGTATGTTAATTGGGAAAAGAGGAGAGTTTTGATAACTGTACATTTACCCATTACCGTCAGATCCCTCTTGTTCCACCTGTTAATCCAAGACCGAACCTTAATCAATTTATCATTATAATTACTGTTGACTATATCCATAAGTGAGCAATCATTCCTATAAACTATACCCAAAGCCGTAAAGTTATTTGTTAAAAAATCATTGCCGTAGTTCATTTGAAGGGACGCTAGAAGAGTTGTATTAAGGCGAGCACGACCTAAAGGAATACATCTAGTTTTGTCGATGTTAGCTTTACACCCCGAGCACTGAGCAAACGTTCTGAGTTCTACCATAACTGCCTCTACACTCTCTATTGAAGCTTTCAGAAACAGATCAGTGTCGTCTGCAAAGAGACTCTGTAGAATTTCCACACCCGATATGTTAATACCCCTGATATTAGGGTTGATCTGAAGTTTATTCGAGAAAGTTTGAGCCACAAGTAGAAATAGAATAGGAGAGAGTGGGCTACCCTGATGAAGACCTCTGAGGAGATAAATAGGTGCGCTTAAAAACCCATTAATATTTGCGTAGCTAAAGCACGCTTGAAAAGCCACTTTAATCAACTTAATAATATAATCACTGAAACCTAATTTTTCAAGCGTACTGAAGACAAAGTTATGTTCTACCGAGTCAAAACATTTTTCAAAATCAATCTGTAAAAGGAGACCCTCTTGTTCCGAGTCGTTGTTAAATGATTCCAGAACCATTGACATGAGAATAAGATTATCTGCTGTACTCCTGCCTGCTTGAAAGCCTGACTGGGTTTTGCTGATTATGCTGGGGATAGCTTTCATAATCCTATTCTTAGCTATATGTGTGAAGATTTTATAGTCAATGTTAAGCAGAGTAATAGGTCTCCAATTTTTTATGTAGTTAAGTTCCACTGGGCTTTTAGGCTTGGGAATAAGAGTAAGAATACCTATTCTCTGCGAAGGCGACAGGCATCCACTGTCAATAGATTCTAGATAGCAGTCGTAAATGATCTGCCTGATATCCAACCAAAAGGTTTTATAAAATTCAGCAGATAACCCGTCCCAACCTGGGGATTTATTGTTTGTTAACTTGTTCACAATAGCATCCATTTCGTGTAACGAAATAGGTCCCTCCAGAGTTTCAGTATATAAATATAAGGTATAAATATGCCTTGTTAACACCCCCATATAGGTGAAATTTCTTAGAACTGAACAAAAAGGGCATAATTTCCTACACCAAAAATGGCCATTTTGTTCATATTCCCTGATTTCATGATTTATAACCTTCATTCGGCTGTAAAAACACTCCATCTGGGGTGTTATTGTATGATAAATAGCTTGTGAATACTTTAGACCATCAAAACTAACATGTCTACATCAATAAAAGGAGTTTTAAATTTTGGCCATTTTTTGAGGCATATTTTGGCCATTTTTTAAGGCGTGTAGCCATTTTAGCGTTTTTTTCTTCCTATATTGAACAATGTTCGTTTTGTTTGATGAATACTATTCTTTAAACATCTTCTGTCATACTGGTGCCAGAAGTTCTCACCAAAATGCAAACTTAGTTCAAAAATTTGAAAACAAATTTTCAGTGCTCAAAATTTCTACATAAACAGTAATATTTATGCCAGAAAATGTAGTCCTAGTTAATGATTTCACCACAGGAAGTTTTGCCAGAAGACTTTTGTTTCATATGGTATCCACAAAACCTACCAGTCTTATACAAAAAATTAGTTACAAAAACATTTACAAATTTGGCCATTCTGTGAGGCTAGCCATTCTGTGAGGCATATACCCGTACAGAGAATGTGAAATATATTGAAGATTTAGTACAAACAACACTGCTCATAAGTGTCAAGGGCCAATCACTCGTTTGTGGGAGGAGAGGGGGGGGGGGGTTGAGACTTAAACTTATAATATAGTAGTGAGTATAATAATCTCTGCATCTAAAAAAGATAAGACCAGTATCAAAACAGTTATATTCAGACAAAAGCGGCCTCCAAAAATGGTGATTTTAGTTTGCATTTTGACTTCCTGTCCTAAGTAAAGCTGACATGTTACCTGTCAAATGTAAAGATGATTTCTCATTCCTAATATTTTCTATATTAAAGTGACAATTCCTTCAGAATATTGCATCTATGAAAAATATATTGGTCATTTTACGGGCTTTCTCTCTTCCTTTTCTTAGGGAGCATATTATATGAGACACGCCATCTCAGGAAGTTAGGACGCGAGGAGAGTTAGGACTCTTCGGACAACATTAAATCAAGTCCTTCTGTAATGTCCCGAACAAATATAATTACGAATTCAAAATCACACAATATTCCAAAACATCACTGAACAGTGAGTTTTTTATACTAAATACTATTAAGAAGGTGATCATATTAATTATTAAGATTATTATCTTGGTTCAACTGTTACCGGTTCTTGTCATTGGCTGATTTCTGGTTAGTAAGTAAGGAGTCGCAGGTAAAGGGGTTGCAATATTCGGTTAGAGAACTGTACAGTTTAAACTTTAAAGTTTAACGTGTTTAATAACGATAAACTTTACGGCGCAGAATACCAACGAAGTTATTCGAAATATCAAATATTCTACGGAACGCATCTTGCTCGGTAAAGGGATTCACCTTCAAACAGCTTCGATATTGTGAACAGTTTCGTTAGAATCCAGTTGTGAATTTAGAGAGTTTAATCATATCTTTGCACCAGGAAATTGATCTAAGCTGTTTGATGGTCTACTGGTTACAGTACGCATAATATTTGACAGATGAAGGTGTCACGTGACACGTCACTCACGCACCTTCTCATGTAAATTGTGAAATAGTTAGCAGCACCCTACCTACCTATACATACCTACCTGTATATATGAACAACAAAACAAATCACGAAATGTTGTTCAAGGATTGTTGTCAATGAAGTTTCCTCGATAAAACAAGGTTTTTTGCCCTGTGTACTAGTGTTACTGAGTTAGGTGGGGTCTAGACTAATCATATACACAAATTTAATAAATCAGTTGAAACTTGAAAAATAATGTCCAGAGTGTCCAACAGTCTGTTCCTCAGCTCATTTATCTCCTCATTATGTTTGATAATATGTTTACAACACTATTTCCTCATCTTCCCTCAAAACTGCCAACACCTTCCCTCAAAACGTTGCCTACTTTTCTATCTAATTATATTTCAGGTTCAATGATTTCTATTGGCTGCCACTTCCCTCGGAAATCTTGTACACCCACTACACTGATAATCCTGAATATCAAGGTTGTACCACATTCTACTCCCCTGTGAGTACACCGAATATATACTCTTAATTTTAGTATATCTGATGATAAATGTTAATAAATCTAATAATAAATATTTATAAAAGTATATTTATATCAACATATTATTTTTGAACAGACTGGATGTTTAAATATAGTATCTGTAAAAAGGCCCCTTCCAGCCATTGCCACTGCGAATTTAACCTAAAACCTGCCCAGTTAATAGCGAAGACTGCGAAATTACCACTCCTGCCTAGTAATCTAATTTACCCTGTCCAGATCAGCAGTATATTACACTAAATCGGCAGGTTTTCTCTTAATTTTTTATGTCAAAACCTGCCTAATTAACTAGTGATCCTGCATCAACAGCGCAGGTATTTGTAATTTGGCAGGTTTTCTACTAACTTGGCAGGATTTGCTATAAAATTATCAATCCTTTCCGGATGGATTACGGCAGTGATAAAGTTAAATCGGCAGGTTTTCCATTAACTTGGCAGGATTTTTTATAAAATTATCAATCCTTGCCGGATAGATTACGGCAGTGATAAAGTTAAATCGGCAGGTTTTCCATTAACTTTGCAGGATTTGTTATAAAATTATCAATCCATGCCAAATAGATTATAATGCTATAATCTTATTATGGCAGCGTTAAATTTATAAATTGGCAGGTTTCTTTTATCTTTCTTTTAAATTCTTAAGTTATTTGGAATTTTGCTTATTTGGCACCAAAACTAAAAGTCAATAAAACCGAGTTGATTAGCGCAGTCAAGAAATTGGCCGGAGTTGATAAAAAGCTGACAACCATGGCACTGAATCTCCAAATGAGAGGTATAGTACGCTATATACTTATATAGTACGGTACGTACCGCAACAATTGACCCCCTCCCCCCCCCCCCCCCCCCTCCGACAAATGACCCCCTGATGCAATCTACCCCCGACAATTGACCCCCCATGTAATTACACTGGGGGTCAATTCAGGGTTAGGGTAAGGGTTAGGGTCAGGGTTAGGGTCAGGGTTAGGGTCAGGGTTAGGGTTAGGGTTAGGGTTAGGGTTAGGGTTAGGGTCAGGGTTAGGGTCAGGGTTAGGGTTAGGGTCAGGGTTAGGGTTAGGGTCAGGGTCAGGGTTAGGGTTAGGGTTAGGGTTAGGGTTAGGGTTAGGGTTAGGGTTAGGGTCAGGGTTAGGGTCAGGGTTAGGGTCAGGGTTAGGGTTAGGGTCAGGGTCAGGGTCAGGGTTAGGGTTAGGGTTAGGGTTAGGGTTAGGGTCAGGGTCAGGGTCAGGGTTAGGGTCAGGGTTAGGGTTACTGGGTAACACGACTCCTGTCAGCGACATCTGTCCGACAGCGACATCTGTCCGACTCAGGGTACCAGAAAAAACGACATTTGTCCGAAATTGTGATCTGATTTCAATACAACACATTTCCAATTAGAGACGTGATCTGAACTGTTAATTTGAATACGTAACATTGCCAATTTGAGATATGATCTGAGCCATAGTGTACTACTAGTTTATTTTCGACCTAGGCAGGCAGGCATGAAGCAACTGCGTTGTGAATGGCGAGCTCGTAGTCCATGAGAATGTATTGTGGTTGGTAGCCCCAAGGCCTCAGAAGCCCAGGTGTCTATCTCCTCGAACATGTTGCGGTAGAGGGTCGTCGATTTTCCAGGAATGAGTCCTTAGAAGAGGGGGAGGTGCCAGCCGTCAGGGAAGAGTCCGTGGACTGTGAAGAGCTGATGGAAGAGATTAGGTGCGGATTTGAAGGTACCGTTGGGCGTTGACTACGCAATGCTCCGCGTCCACCATATGATCTGCGTTCTTAGGAGTCCCCCAAAGGAATGATCGACGAGTCTGTTCGTCCCATCCAGAGTCCCAGAGCATCATTGGACTGTTGTCGGTAGAGAGGATTTAGTTTGCAGGAATGGATAGCGTTTCCAGATCTCTCGGGTCTGTTTGCTGCAGATCTGGGTCTGTTTACTGAAGATTGGTTGCCATTGTGGATTGCGATAACTGATCTCCATACGGCTGCTATCCTATATGTACTCATGTAGGCTGTGTCCTGTGATGTGATCGACAGCTTGTTAGTGTACGGCTAGCACAATCCTGTCCTTAAATAGTCAATCACGTATCGATGGATCAGATCTCAATGGATCAAATCAGCATTCGAACAATGGGAGCAACGTCACGAAATTACCCGTGAGTTTGTGAAATACGAATGTGAACCGAAATTACAATATGATCCGAAATTCGGACAGATGTCGCCAAAAACGACTCCTAGCTGTCCGACAGCGAAATCTGTCCGAAATCCCCAATTCGGCTGTCGGACAGATGTCGCTGTCGGACAGATGTCGCCCAATCGGGTTACTGTTAGGGTTAGTATAATAAATATATTTGTTTGGTCAATTGCCGGGGGGGGGGGGGGTCAATTTTCAAGTATTATATCACTTGCACCGTTTAGCTCCACGTGGTTTCTTAAGCTTAAATACTTAACTGTCCTGTCAAGATAAAGTAAATCACTATCACCTCTCATTCTAAATAAGTTAGTAAGCAAGCATCTGATCATTTTAAAACAGTCACCTCCCAATTTAGCAAGTTCTTACATCTATATTACAGTCTACACCCTTCAATAATGAGATAATATGTTTGGCCGGTAGAGGGTCCGCAGTAGTCCCATTACAGCATTACCTCATTACCTTAGCATTGCTGTACAGTGTACAACTACTATAAGAGTATAAGATATACATCCTTCACCAAAACTGGTTTGTCCGCTTTCTATTACTAATTTTCCGCTGAAAGTGCCACATCAGTGATCAATCAATATTGGTAAATAGCAATAATTTGAGTTATAGGTTGACCTCCCACTTAGAGCATATGTGGGAGGTCAACCTATAAATTATAGTACGAGCTATTTCCAATTCGTGAATACGAATTTCGATTAAGGTCCAACTTATTAAGTGTCACTTTAACGTGTGACAAATTTCCGATCAAATATCTCATAATCTGAAAATAACTGCATATTTAGAACTATTATATTAATTGTAATGAATCACTTCATTCACTAAATCTTACAATGTGAACAATGAACAGGTAGAGGCACTGCAACTGAAAAAGTGCTGTCCTCACTACTTAAGAACATAGCAATCTAATCTAAAAATGGCAACCTAAGAACTGAAGTTAAGCAAACAGTTATTTTCCAATAATCGGTTTTTATACATACTTTTATACTCAAACTTATCATAGACCCCGTGTTGGTAACAGTGGATAATATGCAGTGGCGAAACGTACCTAAGAGGCCGCAGCTGCACCCCCCCTCCCCATCCCCTTCTGCATAGCAGGGGTTGCCGGAGTGTCGGGCGGTCGTTTCGCCACTGACTAGTGACTGCATGTATAAAAGTATAAACTATAGAGCCATGTAGGCATGTAGCATTCTGTACTTCTGTAGCTTTGCACAAACCAAGTCTCAGTCCTACACCCTACCTAGTAATAAGGTTATACGATCATTACAGTATTCCACATTGTACACTCAAATTATCCAAAACCCCTGCCAATATAGGTTTAATCACGCCACAAGTTGATTCAAATTATCTCAACTTACGCAGGATTTGCGTTAAATCTGCAGCATTCGACTTTATATTTAACGGAAAACCTGCCAAAATAGAGCAAACCTGCCGAGAGTAGGTGAAAGGTGAGGCAGGTTTTGTGTTAATTTTGCAGGCTTTTCTATAAATCAACAACTCGATTAAATAATTACGTGAGATAAATCTCTGCACGAATACGATAAATAGGCAGGTTTTCGGTTAATTTTGCAGGAATCATTTTAAGACTTCAAATTGATTATCAGTCTTAATGTAAAACCTGCCAAATTAAGTGGCAGGTGGCAATGGCTGGAAGGGGCCTGTAAAACATTGGTCCCGTTAGTCCATCTCAGCGTACAGTAAAACCTCCAAATATAAATGTGTTTATATTAACCTGCTAACTATATGGAAGTTTGACGCAAACAGCTAGTAACTTAATAACAATTCTACTAGCTAAACGCTAATAATAAATAAAGACACGGCACGCAAACAACTAATAATAACTCTAATAGCTCGTATCGTTCAACTTTTTAATAAACCGACCCCTCAGTTATACATTTGTAGTAAATGTTGGTCATTTACAATTTAAATTTAGATCACGTCATCAGGCCGGTACAAAGCCGCAGTAGTTCAAATTAAAAGAAGCTGCATTTTTACTAGCAAGTCGCAGATACCTCTTTCAGTTCCCTCAAGGTTTGCAAACTGTATGTCGACATACACTGTACATCGTCACGCATGTTATATCGCAATTTAGTAGAATGCCTTACGGGCATTTTCTGCTCGATACGCTAGGGACCCCAAATACTCCGTATTTTTTACCGTATAAGTTATTAAAAGTGGTCCTGAGATGATTAGACTAAGTTTACCCGGTTAAAACCCTATTTTCGGTCCAAAAATAGGCCAAAAAACCATATCTAGCTGCACAAGATAGTATCAATATTGTGCTATTATTTCATGATTTCCCCGGTCAAAAATCCAATAGAATGGCGATATAGGGATGTCGAGATACAGTGTGATTAGTGATTACCCTCTCTCGGTTCCCTCCATAATCCATATTTCAGCATATTTCAGCATATTATGTAGGCTGTAGTAGGCATATCTGGATTCTGGGAAAAGGTTTTCTATTGATATTCACATACTTACAAACTTATAAATTACAGAATGTCTCATATCTCAGTTGTCACTAAAGTGATCTCGTTATTACACGTACATTGAGCAATTGTTTGGGGGATACCATTACACTGTTGCTATGGTTACATCTTAATGACATTTGGAATTCATTCAAGAGTTGTAAACTCCTGTGTAAAGATCCTGATATTGCAAATTCATTGAAACCGAGAGTGTATAGTACACTAAATTACCATGACTTACCAACTTTACTCATGTTTATAAAAACTTAGCAACTCTTTGCTTGGTGCATTCTGTTTATCAGAGGCACAATTTAGAAAAATTGCGGTAATCCAGGTAATGTGCCACCGAAAATTGGGAGAATTTAGCTAAAACTGCCATTTTCTGACAAAAGACCACTCAAAAATTCGAGATTTTTTGTACTTTTGTCACATTTATGACACAATTTCGCCATCTTTCGGTTTCCGATGGTTTTCAGGGACATTTCTTGACCCAAAAAATAAACTTGGATAAAATAATCCAAAATTTTTAAAAACGGTCACATTTGTGAGGGAAAATATATACGTTTCAATTAAGAGACACCAATAACACAAATACGTTACACAGTACGTATCTTGCCCCATTCTATTTGGTTCGTCACGAATTGTAGCAAGCATGAATGACACTGGAAGGTGAGCTAAAAATTAACTCAACATATTAATGTTTTGAATTGGTGTTTCACTTGCTTTGAATTTAGGAACTTCCACTCCCAGTTGCCACTGGTTACAACTCAATCAGTTGACGTGGCAACTTAAATATTAACATGAACAATCAACATCATTGATACTAAGAAATTACAGTAATAACTAATATTACGGGGGAGTCTCCGTGATCTGACAGGTACTTATAAGACCCTAGTAACCTTAAACATCCCTTAAATATTACAGGACATTTTGTTTTTAAATCTGCTATGTGCCATCAATAAAAAATGTTAATAAATATGTTGATGTTATGCTATCGCAGTAGAACTAGAACCATATAACCTTCTGTGCTGGTTATAAAGCTTCCATCTTTATTTATTCCTAACATTTCTTCTCAGTGAGTCGACTCCAAACAAAAAATGCGGCCGCTTTTCTTTTGTGGATGGCCGCTCAATTTCCCGATCCGTGATGGCGTATTTATCATATTCCATACAACCTGTGGAGCCCAGTCTTTACTGTTTATAAGCATGCAGATATGGCGGAGTGACAGGCGATATTGTCGACCGGGTGGTGTAGTGGTAACACGATCGCCTCCCAAGCAGAAGACCCGGGTTCAAATCCGGTCGGATGCAAGTCGGCCAGTTACCAAGCTGTGATTTGGTACAGCTTCGGCTGGTGATACACACTCTCTGGCTCGTAGGACTAACCCCCCTACAGCTATAGTATAGTGCCTCGGCACAGAGTGGCTTAGGGTTACTGAAAAGGAGATAAGCACCTCAGGCCATCCCAACGTTTGGGAGAGACCTGCCCTTGTATCTTGTTGTTTGTATAGTGCCTAGTGGGATACGTACATGGTGAAATTAACAATGTACTTGGTCAGTTCAGCGCCACGCGCCAACAATTGTTTAATTCAGATTATTGCGCAAAATAACTTTGCGCAGGTTGGAACGTGGGCGATAACTGTGAGCGAGGTCACGTACGCAGTCACGTACGCGACACGACGGTCGCAGGCTACCGTATACGAAAAAAAAAACCTCGTTCGCTCAGGGACGTAGCCAGGATTTTTCTTTGAGGGGGGCTGTCAGTGAGCGAAGCGAGCCGACGCGTCCAATCAAGCTGCGCAGCGAGCGAAGCGAGCAAGCTGTGGCAGGGGTCTGGGGGCGCAGCCCCCAGCGGGGTCCAGGGGCGGAGCCCCTTGGCGGGGGCTAGGGGGGCGCAGCCCCCCGGAAATTTTTTGCGAAACAGGGTGTTTTAGACGACATTCGGCATTAAAGATATTTGTAGGACAGCATTAAACTGGGATTGAAAAGAATCAAGTACTCACGTAAATTTGGTAACTTCACAACAGCAATCTGCATTCTCCAATCAGAATTTACGACTTACTCAGGCCTCATCGTCTTAAGATTTTTACATTTCCTACGGTCTAGGGGACACTATTGACTATAATTATAGAAGTCTTCTAGAATGTTTGCTTGGATTTAATGACATATATTTACTAATCCACAGTTCAAATCTTTGACTGACTGCAGTCATAAACACAGCCCAGTTACCAGGCGACCATGGGGACTAGGGGGCTTATCTTTTTTCTGGGGTTCGATTTTTTCCGGGGGGGGGGGGGGGGGGGGCTGCCGCCCCCCTAGCCCCCCCCCCCTGGCTACGTGCCTGCGTTCGCTAACCCTTGTCCTTGACTCCAGACTCTTTTGTGCCTTCGAAACTTTGATCAGTCATGGATCGGGAAAGTTCATATCAGATGCAACTCTAGAACTATTCATTCTCTAAAATTGTTGATAAATATATGGAGTTGTCATGCGAACATTCAACTCTAGCACATTTCTAAGCAAATCAACTGCAACCACATGAGTGTGATCGAATAATATTAAAGAGTTGAAGCATTCAAGTACTGAAAATGTAAGCTGCTTATTAAATTGAAAGTTATTTTAATGATCCTGATTCCTGAAATAGAATTATTCGAAAATTAAAAATACTGCCCCAGTTGTAACGAGAAAATACTGCCCGGAAATAGTATTTTATTGCCGGTACAGTGTCGACCAGCTTGTCTGAGATTTCTTGCGAAACAGTCCCGCTGGTTACCAACTGTATAGTCTGTACTGTTGATCATGCATTCCGTGGAACACATAGAAAGTCCGAGACCGTAAAATTAATTTAATGATTTCCTGTAAATCAATTAACTACAAGGTGTTTGGTTATCATTGACGTCTGCTCGAGCAATTGTAGCTTTCTCGGGAAAGCGGAACAGCTGTTGCGAAATAAAGTCCAGACACTCATTTTACGACCAAATCACAAAATAAGATAATATAGTGTGCACTTGTTGCGAAATTGTTAAAGTACATTTCTATCATTCCCCTTAATATCATTCGCGGTAGTCGGAAACAGAACTGTTAATTTGAGCTCAACAGGTTGACCAGCTTATAATGGGATCGTCAAATTTAAGTAATTAACCTTTGCAATGTTCTTCTTTTGATTGGTCGGCGTCGACAGTAAGCCTTTCTTTATTCTTTACGGTGGCTTTCACAACGCGTCCCCATTCTCCAACTCCTGCTGCTGGAGAGAGAGACTCCCAAATTATATACCATAAATATATTAAACATAGATATCGACAACAGATTCCGAGAGTCTTGAAGTTCTGTTACCACCGCCCCTGGTGCAACCCCGCCGGGTTAACGACGGAGAGATCGGGACTTCCAGGGGATCGGTCATGGCCTGCTACGTGCAACTTGTAGGAGTATGCAATGTTCCTGTAACGTCACTGTAGACCGCTCCTTTATCGTTGTTTTGAGTGTCTAATCCAAAACCAAATCCTAGGGTACACGAGACGTGGAAGCCTGTGAGCGTGTTAAAGTCCTAGGGTTACACGAGACGTGGTAGCCTGTGAGCGTGTCAAATCCTGGGGTTACACGAGACATGTTAGCCTGTGAGCGTGTAGACCGCTCCTCTATTGTTGTTTTGAGTGTCCGATCCTAAACCAAATGCTAGGGTACACGAAACGTGGAAGCCTGTGAGTGTGTTAGAATCTGTTAAGTGTTTGAGTCCTAGGGTTACACGAGACACGGTAGCCTGTGAGCGTGTTAAATCCTGGGGTTACACGAGACGTGGTAGCCTGTGAACGTGTCAAGTCCTGGGGTTACACGAGACATGGTAGCCTTTGCAATGTTACTATTAAGGGGGGGGGGGGGGGTTCTCCCTGATTTTTTTGTGAAACTTGTTTTCGAGATAGCAGTTGACCAACAAACTAAGACCGGTGACCGAACTTTTGAGGGGGTCCCGGAATTTTGAGTTACGGTAGGCCTTTTAAAAAAATTGGCGGCCAAATTCTGAAATTTGCCGGGCGATATTTCAATTCATTTATTTTCAGGAGGAATGGATAATGCTACCAAAAACCACTCATCTCTACCATCAGTTAGTTTACAAGATTACTAAACGTTTTTTAACACTTATGTAAGTAACCGGTAACGGTCTAATACTTAATGTCTTGCATTGGTAGCATATTAAATTAAAACATAGTTGGTCAGTACGCACTGTACGAACTTTTAAAAGGTGCCGAACTGTACGAATTTTAAAAAGCTGTCGAGGAATTTTTACCGAATTTTAAACCACTTACCACCGACCGATTTGAAAAACCTGAATCATTTGGCTTCGTCAGAGTTTTGTCGGCACTATTTGGGCACTATACAGACAGACAGACACTAGACAGACACACACACACACACATCTATTGAGATTATTAGTATATATTGGTTATATTAAATCAAAGTTCTAAACAAGGGATAGTTTTAAAAACAACGCCCAAGTCTAATCTTTCCCTAAAATAAAAACTAAAAATCAAAAACTTCATTGCAATTCCCGCCAATATCTCTTGTCATAAGCTAAATTACGGAGATAATGCAGGTCAAAGATATTATTCAAATAAATATTTCTTTTACATAAATCATGCACAATCAGCGAGAATAGATTGCTTTGGGGTCTTCCTCTTCTCCCTGGTAAGTCCAGTGTATTGATGGCAAAAATGAGGAAGAAAACGCTGGTCCGTCAAAAGGACCCCGCAAAACATGTCCTAACATTCTCCACCGACTACGGGCCACTTTTTCTGACAATGGTTCAGCATTGCAGCGTTTATACAAGTTTTTGTTGGAGATGACTCCTGGGTACCTTATATTCAAAATAGTGCGAAGATGTCTGCGGTGAACAACATCTAGTTTTTCAAGGAATATTTTGGGGACGGCCCAACAGGATGAGTTGTACATAAGAACCGATACGACTAAAGCATTGTACAGTATTAGACGTTTGTTTAGGGGCAGTTTATCACTCCAGGCCTTCTTGTAATTGTTGAAAGCAGCATATCCCAGGTTTATGCGACGCTGAATATCAGCTTTGCTACACAAGACGGACCCTAGAGTGATACTTTTCCTCCATGCTTCATTCCCCGACACTAATTTTCCATCACTGTCGACTTCACCCGTACTAGCTAAATAAACATGAGTGAAGTCCGTTTTGTCTTCATTGACAAAGAGGTTCCATTTCTCGAGTATAGCTGTTGCCTGGGGCAAAATAGCTCTCAAGTTGTCTTCCTCTTCATCATTGAAGTCAACATCATCAGCATATTCAGTGTCAAGTGGAAGGCCAGCAATAGTAATCGGGGGAATCGGCCTATCTAAACTGATTGTTATAGTCCATCTAAGTTCATTCAAAGCACCAGCCAAGACAAGGGTGAACAGACAGCCGGATAGACAGTCACCTTGGAAAGCTCCAAGGAGACTTAAAAACTCAGCTGAAAGAACTCCATTTACCTTCACCCGTAGCTTTGTGTTGGACAACAACAACCGGACAATCCTCAGCTCATCCTCAGTACAGCCACACAGTTTCAGGAGTTCAAGAATCGTAGTGCGTTTGATCGTGTCAAACGCACTAGACATATCAATGCCCATGCGATGATACTCCCATTTCTTCCTTTGGACAACTGACAGTAGAACTCGCTGACACCAAACAATATCAGCACAAGAACGAGCGCGTTTATATGCACACTGCCATGGACCAGTGAAGGCGTTCACTTTTTCTTCTATCCTTTTAAGAGTAGCCATAGACAGAATTTATCTGGCTGCATTGGACAAGGTGAGTGGACGTAAATTCTTCAGAGGACCAATAGGTTTTTTTGGCTTCTGTAAGGGTGTTATAGTAGCCTCTCCAATGGAAATGGGAAAAGTATGTGACTTGAAACAACTGTTTATGATTCCAGCATAATGTTCATGGACTGTACTATTAGAGAACTTAATTAGCTCGTTGGGTATTCCATCGGGACCATTAGCCCTCCCATTTTTCAAGCTAGAGGTGGCTGCATGTATTTCAACTCCAGTAAAAGGGACATTGAGAGCACGTGGTAGACCCTCAAAAGGCTCGAGAGGTTGCTCATTGCGAGTCAGCTGTTTTTCGAGATAGTCTCTAACAACAGAAGCTTTCATGTCGTCAGATGCAATCAAACAGCCATTTTCATCATGAACACCAATCGAGTTATTAGGTGGTTTACTTTTCTGAAGATGTCTTACTGCTTCAAACATTTTCCTTAAATCGTTTGTGTTAGTAATATCACTATAGGTCTGATCAGCTTGAGCAGACCTCACTTCAACTAATCTTTTCTGGATATTATTAGTGAGGTGGTTGATGGATGACCTCAATGTAGATCGATCAAGAGATTGATTATTGTTAAGTAGCTGTCGGAGATCGTGACGCTTTTCAACAAGCTCTTTGAGAGTGTCATCACTGCTGTGATGTTTCAAGCGAGCTTTAGGTTTTGGGCCGATGGAAACATTGGCAGCATCACGAATATGAGACATAAGATTTTGAAGGTCGGCATTTGGATCGTTGCTGGTAACAAAATTTGAGAACTTGCCTTCAAGGGCCAAGTGATATTTATGTTGCATATCTTTGTTGCTTACAAGTTCTGATATATTATAAGAAGGAACACGACGTTGTTTAGGTTTGAAACAAAAATGAATGTTGCTGAAATTGATGCGAGCAATGACAAGTCTATGATCTGAAAATGTTTTAGTACCAGCATAAGTTCTTGATTGAGTCAAAAGACACTTAGATCTATTTCGGCATAGTATGTAATCTATTTGAGAGTATACAGGCAGTGTCTTCTTACTGTACCGACCAGCCGACCAATCCTTCCGCCAACCAGTAAATGATGTAACACGTCTGCTAGGTTGTATAAAACTAGTGTTCACAGCAAACAGATTATTTTCTGAGATAAAATCCAGTAATCTAGAACCATTTTCGTTCCTTTCTCCCATTCCGTATAGGGCCTGTCGTGATATCATGGATCGCTTAGGTTCCACCAGGATCTGGTAGTCCTCATAATTCTGCGGCCTCTATGTTTTGTCATCTCATCTATGCTCACACTCGCTCCCTCAACTTCTGTCTTAATCTACGGATATCGAACGAATTGTAACAAAAAGAATAAAAATTCACGTGTAAAGTTGCAAGTAATAATATATCTAATAGCTTGATCATATATTCAGCGACAATATTTACAAGGGAAATTGAAACTACATACTTGAAGATGTTGGCTTTACTGTTAAGAGATATCAATAATTCCGATTCAGCATAAAATTGAACAAGTTCCTCAGCCACCAAGGTCAGAATTCTGTTAATCTGTACCTTCGGTTGCTGGTCACTTCTAAGAAGTAATAATTGAAGCACTCTCCTAGTCGAAGGAATCGTTTGAGGTAACTCAAGTGGCTCTCCAATAAGGGAGGAAAACTTCATTTTTGAATGGAAAATTGTAACGAATTGAAAATGTAACGATTAAAATAATGCTTGCATTTCTTGCGTAATTTAGCAGCCTTTTTTAGCGTAATCTTGATTAAAATTTAAAACTGCTGCCATTGGTCGATATATTCTATCAGTAGAATAAGCTGTTGCAATTGGCCACATATTGTTAACTAATGCACCCTACTAACGCGTGTCTTACTCCGCAAAACCATCCAAAAGCTATACACTAATCCTACCTAATCTTACACTCAGCTCTAATGGCTATTCTACACTCAAACTAGAACATTCTAAAAGATCGATTATTACGCTGAAACCCTGCTGTGTACAGCTTATTGGCCACTGTGTATGTGCTAGTAGTCATATATGTGTGAAAAGATGCCGATAATACTTCCAGATTAATTACGAAAATTGAAATAACAGACACTTAAAAAAAGCTGCCCAACTGAAATTGCACAAATTGCAATACAACTGCCACATAACACAAGGTTTTTATACATATAAGTTTATTTAACGGGTGATACTCGTAAAATATTTGTTCCAAATATTACCTTCGACGAGTTTAACTCGGCGCAGGTCCTGGTAGGTTATAAACCTACAATTTTGTTTTAGTTTGTCTACCGCGTAACTATACTTGAATCCGTTAAGTAATAAGTTTAACTACATGATCGAGATGTTGATTGTATTGATGAAACATGGATTTTAAGACATAAGGAAGCATTGTTGAGTTCTGAAACCAAGTTTAATCGATTTCTCGTGCGATTTTAGGTCAGGAATGGTCATAAAAATAAATTTAAAACAATGACGATATTTTGGTAAATTTCTAGCTTTCTGCCAGAAAATAAATTTTCGGTTTCTATAGGGGTTTAATTAGGTATAAACTACAGTACAGCTATACTTACACCCACATTCACATGCATGCAAGCTCACCTGGTCCAATGAGCGGGAAACGGAGAGGAAGGTCTGGTGACGTCATAGTCACGTGACCTCAGGCTCATAATCACGTGACCTAAGACCCAATCAATTGGGTTCTGGCCTGGTCAGCCCCCTGTCACCCGATCTTGAGGTGACGTACGACACCTCGTTAACCCAATCAATGTCTGGAAGGCTGCAAATTTTCACATGCCAAATCCACAAGATTCTTAAAGAGTTGTGCGAGATGACAAAACATAGAGGCCGCAGAATTATGAGGACTACCAGATCCTGGTGGAACCTAAGCGATCCATGATATCACGACAGGCCCTACATTCCGTATTTCCCCATATATCTACCAAAACCCTGTTCAATATCAGAAGGGGATAATTTACCCAGTTTTGAATTAAAGTCACCCAGAAATTGCAACTCCACATTAGAGGGTACATTCTTGGCCTCTCTTAGCTGCCCATAAAAGTTATCCAATACAACTGGATTTTTACGGACTAGCCCCTGATGTGGACAGTAGGCTCTCTCTCTCTGTTCTGGTCAACGGTTTCTGGCCTCTTACTAAAAGATGGAGGCCTTCTCACCGTGCCCACAGAATGCAACTCCTGCTAGCTGCACGCCAGGACTCCCAAAGTATATACGAAATCATAAAATAATAAATATCAATGCAACAGACCCCTGGAGTCTTGAAGCTGTCACTACCTGTCTCAGAGCAAACCCACTTCCGTTGTAGTACTTCTGCGGGCAGACAAGGGACTTCCGAGCAAGGTCAAAGCCTGGGAGATATGTCTCTATGCGGAGATGGGCCTAGGTTGAGTTCCTAGTATGGGATTTAGCGAAAGTTCCTAGTGAAGAATCCTAGGAGGTTACCCAAAAGGGTTTTTCCCTATCCAGTCTTGTCGACTGTTCCACAAATTTGAAGATATGATTGTAGTTTACTGTTTTTAAGGTAGAGTTTACCAATTATCCTCATTCTGAACGTCATGATCTGGATGCACTTGCAGAGGAGGTGCTGGGATGTTTCTGCTTCTCCTGAAAAGTGTTCACAATCTTGCGTCTCGAAGTTGACGTTGTTTGCCACGTTCTGAAAATAAACTAGTGGGCTGTGACCTATCCTGAAAGGGCCATGTAAGCCATCTGATGTGAGTTCCAACAAAATTTTAGTTCCTGTATTTATATTTGTGGAGGAACATCTCAAGTGGAATGTTCCTTTGTCACTGAGTGTGGCCTAATTGGGAGGAAGGGTTCAGGTCCTATGGGGATGTTGTTGGATTGATCGTCCCTTGCGAATTCGTCCGCTAGTTCTTTACCGTATACTCCTTAATGTCCTGGAACGAAGTTCTACTCGATGAGAATACCTAGTGAGTTGAGTTGGTCTGAGATGTTCAAAACGAACCTGGAGTTAAAACTGGTGCTGTTAAGCGCTTTAAATGCAGCCTGGGAATCTGAGATCCTAAGTTATCATTAGTCCAGATACTTGCCATTGTATAACGCAAATAGCGGGTACGATTTCCTCAATGAACCTGAAGAAGGAATATCTGTCCTGAAATGATACCATGTATCGTCGAGCTAAAAAATGAATCAAAAATTAGAGTAAATCGTTAAACGTTGTATGTCCTATTTGCATCCCCTAAGCATTGCATTGATGTTTATTCCTGGTCCGGTTAGCTTTGCGTCTCAGAACTAAAGAGGTCCACTATGCTTTAGTGAGCTATGCTTTCCACCAGGGTACTGTAGATCTAAGGGTTCCCCGTGTAATGGGGCAGGCTGTGAAAAAGCATCTCTGCAGGATGTCCGAGATGAACTGTTTTCGAGTGTTGAGAACTTCCGCTGTAGAACTGAATAGAACCAGTTGCAGTAGGGGTGTCAGTCAAACACTGCTGGCTACTAGATGATTGTAGAGCGTCCAGTCACACTTCAATGAAGAGTGTGGCAAAGCTAACCCGGTCCCCTGAAAAGTGGTTACTGGAGGAAGAAGTGCCAGGAATTCTCACTATCAGTGTGTCCTCGTAGTCAGAGTTGACATCCCTAACACTGTCTTATCACGAGCCTGTGTCTAGCGTGTGTCAGCCCTAACGCATTAGCTGTCTTAACTGAAAAGACCTGAAAAGTGGTTACTGGAGGGAGAAGTGCCAAGACTACTCATTATCAGTGTGTCCTTGTAGTCAGGATGAGCGTATTGGAATCCCTATCTCTGTGGTGGGTGACTTCGATGGGACCTGAAAGCTGAAAGAGAATTTCCTGGTGATTTAATAGCTCTTAGAACTATGTATCTGTGTCTAACGTATCGTCGTTTGTGTGTGTACTATCTTGTAACCTGATATCTGAAAGAGAAATTTCCTGGTGCTTGGTAGCTGTTAGTGTTGACTTCCTGGTTCCTATGGGAACTTTGAGTTGGCAAGTCCCAACCTTTGTACTCAACAAGAGAGCACACCACCCGTTAGTGCCAACCAGGCCACACCACGTGGAGGTTCGGAGAGGATTTCGTGACCCATGGACAGTAGGCATTGATCACCCTGCAACGTAGGGGTGTACCGCTACGTGAGGGGATGCAAATATCGACATAGCATACCCGGTCACTGATGTACTTCCAGCAAACCACATAGTTCATCATGCGAGGACTGATTATAAAACCCAAGCCTCCATGGCGACTGTCCAACTGCTCGAACAGAAACAAGTTAAAACCGTTGCGCAAAACAAGGTTGTCTGATTCGGTGACTTTAGTTTCCTGCAGAGCGCAGATGTCGACATTGTACTTTTCACAGTCTAATCCTAGTAACTCACGTTTACTATGTAGGCTATCATCTTGCTGAACACCGAGCCCACGGATGTTAAATGTGGCGAAGCTGATCATTAATGCAATGGTTGTTGATACAAATGATTTCTTCTTCGGGTTAAATATGTTGGAGTTGGCGTCACCACCGTCTCCACCGCTGACATTACTCGAACGGACCATATATAATATATACTAGATTCGTTCGTTAATAATACTCACCGATTATAGCGAGGAAGAAGTCAATAGCAGCGATTATATTTATATAGAGCACATAGTTTTCCCAGCCCAAAACATTTCCAAGTTCAGTGATGTTCAGTCTTGGGATGTAGTGAACAGTGTTACTTGTCACGGAGGGAGGCATTCTTGCCTTGGTAAATTTCATTATAGGAGCGACCCCTGATGTACAGTGGTATAAAAGTCAGTCACAAACTGATGCCGACTATTTGGAGTATAAAATAAAATAAAATCTCGGTTATGTAATTCTCGTTATATAGCACCACGCAGGAGAAAATATCGCGTCTAGACCAAGAATATACCCTCTCACAGGTTGAGATGTATCGGGAGTGGGAATACTATATGTAATTTGCACGTTCATCTATAAAAGTTCAGCACTGAATTTTCTACTTTTCGATGTGCTGTGCACCTATGGAATGGTTGTTTTAGAAACAGCTTTTCAATTCAATTAAATAACTTTAAAATCTGGTTTATAAAATGCAATCATTTAATGAGTGCTGTAGCATCAATCCTGATCTCTATGATATATTAGTAGTGATATCGCAAAGAAATCCAATTAAAATTAATGATATTGCGTCAAATGAAAATTATTTTTAGTGGTCGCTTTCTTTGAACAAAATTCTTAATGATTTTAAACCATAAAATAAATCTTGACTCATATCTGATTTCGTGATAATGGTACTGGTAGATAAAGAGTATTTTAACCTCGCTAAAAGCACCGGTCGTTTGAAAAGATACTTATCTATCAAAGGCCTGACATCTGAGTTAATTTAAGTTCTTTCGATTAAATCCAAGTTCGAAAATTTATGAGGCGAATTTTTCCCGAACTAATCCCGAACTGAAAAAAGGTGCCGAACTGTACGAATTTTTTACGACTTTTGTACGAACTGACCAACTATGAATTAAAATAAACGATTATGATAAGTAAATAGAACAATTGAGTAGAAAACATAAACTTTGGTGCTCAAGGAACCTTAACTTTGGTAGCCAAGGATCTTTAACTTTGGTAGCCAAAGAACCTTAATTTTGGAAGTCAAGGAACCTTAACTTTGGTAGTTAAGGAACCTTAACTTTGGTAGCCAAGGAACCTTAACTTTGGTAGCCAAGGAACCTTAACTTTAATAGTCAAGGAACCTTAACTTTGGTATCCAAGGAACCTTAACTTTGATAATATTGGTGAACCCAAAAAACATCTTTGCTAACTTAATAAGTTACAACTTTTATAGTAGGTTAAGAAACTGTTATTGGTTCACGGTATTGAAGATTAGTGCTCAGAAGATAAGTTTTAACTTGTTAAAACAACTGTGATTAAATAAACTGTGATTAAATAAACTGTTTAACCTTAAGCATCTTGGTTTAACCTTAAGCATCTTGGAGTTGGTTTACTGTAAATTCACAATTTTACCTAACCAATCGCTAGTCGCTACTAAGTAAACTGCAAAACTTGACGGTTATTAATACTTTACTTTACTTTACAAACCAATCTAATAACACTGATTACAGATATAACTGCGAGATAACAGGAGAGTTGAAGGGATCGTTCCAGGCTGACAATGAAAGTTTACTTCACACAAACTTCACCCTTCCTTGCCACGTCATCTGTACTGCTCATATAATAAGGTAATGATATACAGCGACAAATTCAGTCAACTTCTTGTTCTAGAGTGCGAATCTTCTGTTCCTTCCTATAAGCATCACGTCATTCTTAAAGGTCGTAAAATAATAAGTCTCCGTTTTCGAGATGATACAACTACTACATATATATAACATTTACTTATTTACTACTTTACTAAGTGCAATTCTCAAAATTGTTGGGAATAGTTTAGAATAAATCAATTAAAATTCGTCTGTGGTTGAAGACAATTTGTACTAGTCAACGATGAGTCTCGCAAAAACAAGAATAATTTTGCGTTAAACTTTTTCGTAATCATTTTTCGCTCTTATGAGTGGCCCCCGCCTATCAAGTTAAACTTTTTGATCGGTTATTTCGTGATCTGACGGTTGAGGCTGAGTTGGTGTGTGGTTTGGGCAGGCACAGTTGGGGCACGAACCTAGTCTCAGTGTGAATAGTCCGAGCACAGTAAGGGAAATATTGTGAAATATCGTGAAATATTGTGAAATATTGTGAAATACTGTGAAATATTGTGAAATATCGTGAAATATTGTGAAATATCGTGAAATATTGTGAAATATTGTGAAATACTGTGAAATATTGTGAAATATTGTGAAGTAAGTAACAAAAAGTGCATTCAAAATAAAGCTTTTAGCAGCATATTAAATGTAGTGTATATCACGACCCAATATACACTCAACTAATTGAGCTCACATATCTTCATCGGGTAAATGGTATCCTGGATGCTCCCAATGCACACGTCATGAAGTTGTTGAGTCCGGACTCTACAGCCTGAGACTCTACATGGTGAGACTCTATTACATTTCAACAGCTATATCATAGGTCGGGATTGAATGAAATTTAATAGAATCTCATGCCGTAACGTCTCACGCCGTAGAGTCGCGGACCCGAAGTGGTCGTTCATTCCTACCCTCGGATGTTACCCCTTAAAACTAAAACGGGCTAATGGGCTCCCCTAAATGGACAGCTACTTTGAAGTCATATGTACCAATCAGAGGGCTGACTAGTTATTTCAGGGGGTGTTTACCACTTTGGCGATTTTAGGAACGGTCCATTAAATGAAGCCTATTTGATGTTTTCTGAGCAGCATGATTTTATAGAACAGTTTTCGCTAAATTGTGACCAAATCATGATCACCATTGGCTCAGTTAGACAAAGTATCAACCTATACCATTCATTTCCAGCTAACTCTGATACGCTGATAGGTTCCGACTGGATTATACTTTTATGCGAATCGTTTAAATACGTTAAGCATAATTACAAATATGCCAAATAATGTTACTACTTCACTCTCAAGATTAAGCGTAAATCGATTTAATCGTAAATCAGAGTTTCAAATTCAAAAATTAGTCACAGCAGTTATCACGAATATTGCATAATTAAGTTATTATTCAGTAAGTATTTAATTATCTATGGGTGCAAATACAGGGGAAATGGGGGTATATCTCTACTATAATTCAAAGAATTATTTATGTTGTACGACCGCCCACGTGCAAATCAAACGAAAAATATGAATTTGCGTAGTAACCATGGTAACGAAGGTTGTTACACGCACGTGCACGTGCAAGGATTTAAGAGAGGCATTTTGATCGGTTTTTTGTTATTACGTGGTGTTAAGTGCGAGCTATATTTTAATTGGCTGTATCTTCGGTTGTGATGGATATTTGTTTATGCTATGAAAACTGACTGCCAAATAAATAGAAAACTACTAGATTCATCCCTGTTACCACGGGTTTTCTAGTCTCTATTATAATTCAGAAAATTCTGTTTGTACTTACACTGTACGACCGCCCACGTGCAAATAAGGTAAAAAGCAAAAGCTTGCGAAGTGACCATGGTAACGAGAGTTGTTGCACGTGCAAAGATTGTTAAAACGGCATTTTTATCGGTTTTGGTGATATTACGTTGTGTTTAGTGCGAGCAACATTTTAATCGGCTGTATCTTCGGTTGTGTAGGATATTTTTGACGCGATTTGAAATTACTAACAAAAAATACTATACGCTTCCTCCCTGTGACCACGGGTTTTCTAGTATAATATAATCTTACTTATAATTCAGAGAATTCCCTTTGTATCTTTGTACGACCGCCCACGTGCAAATCAGACGAGAAATATGAAGTTGTGTAGTAACCATGGTAACGGTGTTAAAAGTCCACGTGCAAGGATTTGAGAGGGGTATTTTTATCGGTTTTTTTGTTATTACGTGGTGTTCAGTGCGAGCTATATTTTAATTGGCTGTATCTTCGGTTGTGATGGATATTTGTTGATGCTATAAAAACTTACTACCAAAAAATAGAAACCTACTAGCTTCCTCCCTGTGACCACGGGCTTTCTAGTCTTACTTATAATTCAGAGAATTCTTTTTGTACACTGTTCGACGGCCCACGTGCAAATCAAACGAAAAATATGAAAATGCGTAGTAACCATGGTAACAAGGGTTATAACACGCACGTGCAAAGCTAAAGATTGTTAAAACGGCATTTTTATCGATTTTGTTGATATTACGTTGTGTTTAGTGCGAGCAACATTTTAATCGGCTGTATCTTCGGCTGTGTAGGATATTTTTTGACGCGATTTAAACTTACTAACAAAAAACACTATTAGCTTCCTCCCTGCGACCACGGGTTTTCTAGTATATATATATTATATAGATCTATAATCTGCATTGCTCCTCTTATATGGGAATTTGGATGGCTTCCCTGAAAAAAAATCAAGGATTTCTTGCGTAGATTATCTGGACTGTATAAAGGTATAAGTACAAATGCATTAAACTCGATGATATGGTTCCCTTCTAATAGATTTTTAAACTAACTACAAATTGACTACTACGTGACTACTGCGTGACTTGACAAGTAGTCACGTGGCAGTCACGTGGTAGTCGTCTACTTGATCTGGTAGAGTTTTAACGGGAACTCAATGCTAATGCAGCACAAGAACACGCTGCTCACAAATTAAGACCAGTATTTATTACTTATTGCACAATCTTTCAGCGTTTGGCCATCTCTAATCAAATCAAATCAAACAATATTGAGACAAACATCATCAAATTTCATCATAAATATTACTTCAAAGTTAATAAATTAAACTATATAATGTACATAAACTCAGTGACTCAAGAATACGTTAGCATCCAGACACATAGCATCCAGACGCAACTGTATGCTTATGTGTCTGCAAGATTATTTCTTACACTTAAAGCTACATATTCCGTTCAGGCCCTTCACACTTTGTTTCTGTCTAGTTCTAATGTACCGTCACAATAGTGACTTTAATATACAGTGGGGTGCCATATATATCGTCATTTCTGTTAATGACAATATGAATAGTGTTAAACCAGTAACTTCTATCGAACCATAACTCCGCTTCCAGACCACCGATTAACAAAATTCAAAAGTGGGTGTTCAGAGAAAAATTTTCTCAGCAAACAGAGGTTGACCAGATTATGAGTTAATTAGCGTTCCAAAGTTTCACCAAAATAGAAAGTATTAAGTAACGATAGACCAGAACAGTTTGATCATACAATAACTATCATCAAGCTTACTGCAGAAGAAACGGGAAACAAAAAGTGTTCACCGAGGCATGTGTACCGATCAGGCATGTGTCCGTAACTAATTTGGATGACTTCGCACATGTTTAAATATAACATGGTGCTTGCTGCTGTGTTTTCCAAATGTAATTAAGGTCGTAGGTGCCCCAGGAGCTCTAATTTGATCGGATTTTCACAGTAGAGATTTTAGCTATGATGATGTCCAAGGTTTAAGCTATTTTTGGCTGGAGGCTATGGGGCTATTTCTTTAGAGTTTCATCGTTAAATTGAAGATTTCCAGTCGATAGCTGTTGGGATGAGTACAGTGTACACTCTTCGTTTATCAGACCTTTGGGTTTTTTCTAACGAGTAATGAACTAGATTTGACCGAATCAATAATTTGTAGATGGGTACTGTCACAGATTTTAAAATACATATTAAATGTATTATTTTTTGAATCTATAAGAACTTATCCTCAGATTGAACCCAAAGCAGAAGCTCCCCCCGTCGTATTCCTACGTACATCGAGACAGAGAGAAATGCACGGTATATTCAGGTTATCCACACCCTGGAACTTATCTTTTGAGGTTGGTGCGAGCTCAGTGCCTGTCACACTTGAATAGATAAAATTTAGTAGCGCGCGAACTAATAATTATATGAAAACATTATTTTTCATATTCAGTACATGAGGCGCGCGACGCAAACAAGCATGTTTTTATCAATTTATATCGTGTCTAACAAAGATTGCAATTAATTCGCAATTGCAGTGCAGATAGTCTTAAATCTTAAAAATCTATCCATAATCTAACCATATTATTTAGCAGCTTTCTGATGATGAATCAATCTTACTAATCAAACCTTTACAAGATTAATGGGCCAGACACGAAACGCCCTCAACGAAGGAATGGAGAAGATAGTCGAGCTCTCAGTCACCGTTTCAAAGGGACGAGGAACTGACACCCTGTATCCGGTTATAATGAACCGTTCCAAAGAGTTCCTACTTGTGGGTCCACTTATGGGACAACTTATCAGACATATGTCAGCTTATTTTCACTGTAATGTCAAAGGCGCATCTCAGGTGAGCTGTCGACTTGGTTTGATTTTTGTCGGGATTTGGAAATTATTTGAAGGATTTTTGTTGCACTTATTCTGACATCTAATTTCTAAAACGATTTTGTTAAATAATACAGTATTATAAAAATTAGACACGTAATACTAATACTTCCGGTTATTATTATTTCTAACCGTAATAGATTGTGTGGAGATACTGTCGTAATCATTTCCATTCCTCAGGTGTCCGTACTCGTTGGCGGAGATGTCTTTCCCCTCAAGAAGATAAGTGATGACAGAGACATATTAATCAGATCTAAAAATTCTGAGAGACGATTAAACCGTGCCAAAGACAATGAAACAGTAACAGTAACAGTAAATAAATCCCCAAACAAAACTGCTGATCCCTCAGAAACGACAGCAGTAGCATCTGAATCAGCCCTGACCCAAGCAGCATCTGCTATAGCAATAGCTGCACTTATGGCGGCTTCCAAAGAAGAAACGGCTCCCACAGAAACTGTGCCGTCTCCAATCAGCCCAGCGGACTATTACACTACCATCTGTGTGACACCAGCCTCTCCGCCCTGTGACTCAGTTCCCGACTCAGACGTCACCACAGTTTGGGCTGGGGAGGCCCTTGTTTCTAGCAGGGAGGTATTCCTTGCTGCTTTCTTCACAGAGAACATTGAATATACCAAGCTAGTCAGGTTCCACTCTAAACTCATATGACCAATACTGCTAAACAGTCTTGACTGAGGCGGCTTTATACCGGCAAGTTCATATTAAATGGTGAATTTTACCTGAAAGCTAATAATAATTAGACATCAAATTATAGATTTTGACTTCAGAGCACTCATTTTGGTGCCAATTTAATGCATGCGTTATTTTAAATTATTATGTAAAGATTACTTTAGTTTAGTGTAAATATTTGACCGATTGAAGCAAAGCCGTTATAAATAGACCCTAGCGGTCTAGCGTACAACAGATCCATGAGGAGAACTTATGATAATGAATGATAAAAACATCCAATTTCTTCTTGATGGTACGTTTGAGCCACCAATGTTATATTTGCAGCTGGAACATTTTACAAGGAAATGTAGCGGCCTCCGGATTTGTTTGCGTTTTAATGGAAAGATGGAAAGAGTTGTTATAGCTCACGTTTCATCTCCTACTGTTAAGTTCATGATTAATGGTAACGATTTGTATTCAACGTATAATAATTACTAGGTACACTTTTCTTTTTTTAACCTTCATTGCTCATGAACTTGTACTTAAAAGGTAATTTTAGTAGCGTCATTATCCTTTGAATTATTTAAAAACCAAATTTAATAAATCTTCTTTACAATGCGTAATACTAGTCATTTCTCTTTTCTCGGTAGATTCTCAAATACCCACCGAAAAAAGCATAACGAACTGCACATAATTTGCCAAATTATCAGACGGAACATACTTTTTATTTATTCACCTTATGTATTACATTTCATTTTAAAATCCTGTATAAACTTCAAAACATAAACTTTCTAGTCAGCTGAGCACATTTTTGACTGCGCTAGAATTTACACTAGGGGTTTCACTAAGGGGGTCAAAAGTTGGCAAAAGTTGGTGAAAGTCTTCAATGAATTGCCCCTAAAGAAGTAAATAATGACCTTCCTCATGAAAAATTGTCAGAATCTGACATGACGGAAGATATATATGTAATAATGTAGTGCCATAGCGAGCCATACCCTTTCCAAGTATAAGTACTACAAAATATAGTGTACACATGTTGTCCCATAATGTTCTGCGTATTGTTCATGTGCTGTAATTGAAGGGTCACAGCTAAACGACTTTACATTTTTATTAAAATTGTACCGATCTGACTTGTTTTATTGATATTTAATTTCATTACACAGTAAAGTTATAGAATATAGCACTGGATGCCTGACTCCATTATACGTTATCAATGTATCATATTCATACATTATACACTTGTACGGTGTACAAGAATTGACTCGAATCTGAACACATTATTTTGTTTCATTATGCATGTAAGTATTAGAGTATTAAGTCAGTAGACGCCCTTTGCTCCAAATTTTAGTCAACCTTACTGATCTTAGACCCGAGCAATTTTTATAATGTGTCCTTATAATGTGCTCAGTAGTAAAGTTCGACACGCTCTAAAGTTCGACACGCCCTAAAGTTCGACACGCTCTAAAGTTCGACACGCTCTAAAGTTCGACACGCTCTAAAGTTCGACACGCTCTAAAGTTCGACACGCTCTAAAGTTCGACACGCTCTAAAGTTCGGCACGCTCTAAAGTTCGGCACGCTCTAAAGTTCGACACGCTCTAAAGTTCGACACGCTCTAAAGTTCGACACGCTCTAAAGTTGGGCACGCTCTAAAGTTCGGCACGCTCTAAAGTTCGTCACGATCTAAAGTTCGACACGAACTAAAGTTCGACAGGCACTAAAGTTCGTCACGCTCTAAAGTTCGACAGGCACTAAAGTTCGACACGCTCTAAAGTTCGACACGCTCTAAAGTTCGACACGCACTAAAGTTCGACACGCTCTAAAGTTCGACACGCTCTAAAGTTCGACAGGCACTAAAGTTCGACACGCTCTAAAGTTTGACACGAACTAAAGTTCGACACGCACTAAAGTTCGACACGCTCTAAAGTTCGACACGCTCTAAAGTTCGATACGCTCTAAAGTTCGACACGCACTAATAAAGTTTGACAATTCCTGAAGATCGACTCTGTCGAACTGGTGATGAATTAAGATTTCGTTATTTATTACAAAATTCTATACTTCATTATAGATATCAGTATCCAACAGATGATTTTATAATTTAGTTGATGTGTAGCGCTTAGTGATAACAATTAGCAAGTAGGTTTACATTTTTGAGCTTTTAGTTATCTATTTTGCTTATTTATATATTTGCTGATTCCTAATAAGCAATTTATAGACTGATGACGACGTTGACATTATTAGCTATTTAGCTTTTAGATTTACTAAATTGCTAGGTACCAATGGTTTACCTAAAAGTTTAATGAATTGCTCTTGCTTCCGTTGTAATCACTTGTCATACGTTGTATGACCCGCCGCGCACGAAGTGCGCGGCTCCCCCTGTAGCGTCGAAGACGCTACAGGGGTAGCGACCGTGGGGTAGCGACTGTGGGGGTCACCACGTGGGGGTCACCGTGGGGGTCACCACGTGATACAAGTAATCACTAAATTTAAATTTTGTCCACTCCTAAGATTATGATTGAATTCTTCAATCGATACAGATAATCCGGATTTTACATGATACAGATAAGCGTCAGAAATAGAATCAATGCGACGGCTATCTTTGAGAAAATATTTCCCCGGTCAATCCAGGTTTTCCACGACATTCATAAATTGGGACTCGACTGTACTACGACAGTCACAGATAAAGAATGCCATACAAATTAATTTTAACGGAATGTTGACTACTTCTAAAGTAAGAAAGTAGACTGTCCGTTCATTAGTTTTAAAGACTGTCCATTATTGTTTATTGCACAATGCACATGGATATTGAATAGGGCTTTGAATTGTGAAAATAGCGCATTATTGTTGAATTCCTGGTCCCCTGACAGGAATGCTAGATTTACGTATTGATCTGGTTCATTTTGCAATGCAATTATACCCACTTCGTGCTCTACTAAAAAAATCAATTTTGCATTGTACAATCCTTCAAACAATGGTCCAATATATGCTATTGCTAAAAATTCTATTAATTATAGTGCCAGTGGATGTTGATGTATTGCAGAGCTGACTATATTATATATATTTTTATTTTATTTGCGCTATTTCAATGGATTCGTGGTGCTATTAATTTTCAGCACCATTAACTGGATTCATTTGCGTGATTGGTCAGGTTTCTAATAATACTTTAATGACACTTGATATTATTTTGTTTCTGCTTTTTTGGAATTTTCCTGAACTCAAATAGAATTCGCTCTTAACCCATATGAGTTACATTATAAGAACATGAGTGTAAGTAATTATATAAGAAAAGTATTTGTTCTGCTAAAATAACGTCGGGGAAAAATTAAGGCTGTAAAAAATTTCGTCGGAGAAAAATGTTGTCAAAAAAGTTATCGAATTGTCAACCTAAATCAGGCAACTAAATCAACCCCACTAGTTGCTGTTATGTACACCAATTGGAGCTACCGTTCAGGACTCGGCGATTCGACCCGCTTCATATAATGAACGACTCATCCTAGTGGCTCTTTGGCGTCAGTTATTCAGTAGCGAATAGCGATCCGTGCTTTATGACCTTGATGACAGCCTACCCGGTTGCTGTATAAAAACAAACTAAATACCACCCCTGACCTATTTTGGGAGCAGTCTAGAAAAGATTGCTACAGGAGCCAGCACGTGTCATTATGGTACTGGCTCATTATAGGTTAACGGGGATCTGACTAAAATTATTCCAGGTATTTTATTATTATATAACTTTATTCAAATCAAAAATAGAACATAAATGAAAATTTTAAAGATCTGATAAGTAGCCAGAAAAAAGAAATACTGATACACAATCTATAACAATTTCTTCCATCCCGCTCTATCAGAGGCTAAAAGTCTTAAATTGTACAAATCGTCTGTATTTACAAATGGAATGTTCCTACTACCTAAATCAAATTTAATAGTCCTAAGCAAGTTCGACTGGTGTCTGCCTACTCTACCCTTTTTTTTTCTTTTTTTTTCCTTTTTTTTTATTGAACAAAATATAATCAGCAACATCCAGACGAATATGATTGTCTGCATTTCGAGGCAGCAGTTTTGCGAAACTGTCAATGAACATCAAGCAATCATTGGCTTTTACTAAAAATATCGGCTTCGAAACTTTTTAGAATTTTACCAACGGCATGGTTTTTTTTTTCAACTTTACGGAATTCCCATACAATCATCTTGATTAGAGATTGGTAGAAGGGAAAATCACCACTGGGCACTGGGCGCTGGCATTATAGTTTTATTAATGTCTATTATCTTCTTCCACTGGTTAAACGAATCCTTTGCTTTCTATATTAATATATATTATATACTTATAAAAGAATCAGATACTGATGTAGCCGAGATTCGAGAACTAATATGGATTCTCGTAGTCTTTTGTTCAGAATTTCCGATGTCTTCTGTTCAAACTGTGGCTGGTGTAGGGGTGGGGTCACTAAGTTACATATTATTAAGTACCCTACCCATATGTAGATATTTAATCCTGTTGTAACTTATAACTCATCAGAGGGCCTTTTTATGGTTAATCTGGCCTTTTTATGGTTAATCTGGCCTTTTTATGGTTAATCTGGCCTTTTTATGGTTAATCTGGCCTTTTTATGGTTAATCTGGCCTTTTTATGGTTAATCTGGCCTTTTTATGGTTAATCTGGCATTTTTATGGTTAATCTGGCCTTTTTATGGGTTAATCTGGCATTTTTATGGTTAATCTGGCCTTTTGTTATCTTTAGTAATTACATATTGACAATCCCATTAATGTTTCCCCTCTTAATTTATGTATCATGCTATCATTGTGGGCATTATATATTTCCGCTCTGGGAGGATATTTGTTAAGGCCTTTATCAAAGATAACATTGGAATCATCTTCAAGTTCTACCGTCGGTGGTTTTATTACTGTGTTGCATGAGGCTTTGTGTATTTTGTCATTGCATTACTGTTCCACCATGGTGTAGGATTTGATGAAAAAGTGAACAATTCTATCGTCAATTCTATCGGAATGTGGCTGACAGTTAGCCACGTGAGAGAGCCCGCCCGACTCATGATCTTCATCTAATCGTTGAATTGAAACTGCATAAATGTCAATCTTATTATCTTCTTCGGGTACAGCTCTCAGCAGGTCTAATAGTAAACGCTCTTTTAGGTTGTTTTTATGAAAAATTGATACCCTCTAAACCTCGGGCACAAATTGTTGAACTAAATGTGCTTTGAAAATTTCCGAAAATAAAATTACAATGAATTCTCAAACATGTTCGTCAAAAACCCGGTTTGTTGATTATGACGAAAATGTAGTTTTAACAAGAAGTTCATTACTTGCTAATAAATGCTAATTAATTTGCTAATTGCTAATTTGTTCTGCTATGCGGCCGAGCGTGCTTAATTGTTCAACATCATTTCCTTAGTCTGCCGCTTCTTTTGTTGTGATCATCAGTTCTTGTTGTAGGTTTATAATATACATTGTCATTGAGACATTGGTAGAGTTTGGTCCCATTGTAGATAGATTTATTATCATTGTACGGGTATCGGCCTTACAAAATGACAGGCCTCACAAAATGACAGCCCACATAGACCATGCTGTATCTTAGGTTCCCTATACATTGAACCCTATTCCTTTTACTGT